TCTTCATGTGTGATGTTCTTGATGTCATTCCACAACTCCTCTGGTCTTTGGTCATTAGTGTTCAGTGCACCAACCTGTTCTTGAGATGGTCTCTATATTCAGGTGGGATATACTCAAGGACTCCTGGTGTAGCACTGTAGGATCAGCGCTGGACTGTGAACTATATGGTCGGCAGTTCAAATCCACCAGAGGCTCCTTGGAAACCTTAACAGGGTTGATATGAGACAGAACTGACTCGATGGAACTTAATAACAACATCCTCAAGATCATGTTTTGACTTTTTGGGGCTTGTTTTGTTTTCTGCAGCTTCACCCTGAACTTGCATATGAGCAATTATGGTCTGTTCTACAGTTAGTACCTAGCATTGTTTTGGCTGGTGATATTTCATTTCCCCATCATCTCTTTGCACAGATACAGTCAGTTTGACTTCTGTGTATTCCATATGGTGAGGTCCACGTATAGAGTTGCTATATATATTGCTGCAAAAAGCTATTTGCAATTAATAAGTCATTGGTCTTGGAAGTAGCATACAGAGTCAACTCATCTTTGGTCTGCCTTATTCGTTGTTGTTCAGCTTTCAAATGCGTATGAGATGATTGAAAATTCCATGACTTGAGTTAGGCACACTTTACTACTCAAAGTGACATCAATGGTTTTTAATACTTTAAAGAGGTCTTTTGCAGTAAATTGATACATTGTAATGCATTTTGATTGTGGATACAAGAAAAATGAAATCTTTACCAATCTTTTCGCCATTTACCGTGATGTTATTTATTGGTCCAGTTGTGAGTATATTTATATTCTTTACATTGAAGTGTAATCCATACTAAAGGCTTTGATCTTCATCAGTGTTTCAAGTACTCTTCATTCTCAGCAACCAAAACTGTGCCATATCATAAATTGTTCATTCTTCCTCCAATCCTGATATCCCATTCTTCTTCATATAATCCAGCTCCTTGGATTATTTTCTCACATACAGATTGAATAACTAGGGTGAAAATATACAATCCTGATGCACAACTGTCCTGGTTTTAAACCATTCAGTGTCTCTTTATTCTGTTTGAATGATTGATTCTTGGTCTATGTACAAGTTTCACATGAACACAATAATGTCTTCATGAATTACCATTCTTCACAATGCTATCTATATTCTGTTATGATCCACACAGTCTAATGTCTTTGCATAGTTAATAAAACACGTGTAAACAGCTTTCTGGTATTATCTGTTTTCAGCCAAGATCCATCTGACATCAACAATGATATCCCCCATTCCACTTCCTCTTTTGAAATAGGCTTGAATTTCTGTGAGTTACCTGTCGATGTTTTGTCAAAGATCAGCTGATGGCATGTGGATGGATTTACTTCTGGGTACTTGTCTGTCAGTTTGTGGTACTGTGGTGGCTTGTGAGTTTGTGTGATTCTGGAAGATATGCCACCAGTATTATAAATACCAGCAGTGTCATCCATAGTCGGCAGGTTTCAGATGAGCTTCCAGATGAAGACAGATTAGGAAGAAGGAGATACGAACTACTTCCAAATATTTAGTCACTGAAAACCTTATGAATAGCAGAGAAACACTGTCAGATATAGTGTAGGTAAGTGAGCCCATCAGGTTGGAAGGCACTCAAAATGCGACTGGGGAAGAGCTGCCTCCTCAAAGTAGAGTTGGCCGTGATAATGTGAATGGAGTAAAGCCCATGGGAGAAAAGCCTGCAGGACCTTCATTTGCTGATGGGGCACAACTCAAAATGAAGAGAAACAGCTATAAACATCCATTGAAAATCGGAACAAGGAATGTATGAAGTATGAATCTGGGAAAATTGGAAGTTGTCAAAAATGAAATGGAATGCATAAACACTGATATCTTAGGCATTAGTGAGCTGAAATGGAACGGTACTGGCCATTTTGAATCTGATGACCACATGGTTTACTATGCCAGAAATGACAAATTGAAGAGGAAAGGTATTGCATTCATTGTCAAAAAGAACATATCCAGATCAGTCATGAGGTACAATGCTGTCTGTGGTAGGATAAGATTCATGCGCTTACAGAGAATCCCAGTTAATACAACTATTATTTAAATTTATACACCAACGACTAAAGCCAGTAAGGATGAAATAGAAGAATTCTACCAACTTCTTCAATCTGAAATTGATCAAACATGCAATCAAGATGTATTGATCATTACTGGTGATTGGAACGCAAAAGTTGGGAGCAAAGAGGAAGGATCAGTAGCTGGAAAATATGGGCTTGGTGATAGAAATGATGCTGGAAAATGCATGATAGAATTCTTCAAAACCAATTATTTGTTCATTTCAAATACATTCTTTAGACACATGGACCTCACCAGTTTGAATACATAGAAATCAAATTGACTACATCTGCGGAAAGAGACAATGGAAAAGCTCCATATCATCAGTTAAAACAAGGCCAGGGGCAGACTGTGGAAAAGATGATCAATTATGCTTATGCAAATCCAAACTGACACTGAAGAAAATGAAAACAAGTCCACGAGAACCAAAATATGACCTTGAATATATCCCACCTGAATTTAGAGGTCATCTGAAGAAAAGATTTGATGCATTAAACACTAAAGACTGAAGACCAGACGAGTTGTGGGATGACATCAAGAACATCATACATGAAGAAAACAAAAAGTCATTAAGAAGACAAGAAAGAAGGAAAAAGTCTAAATGGATGTCAGAAGAGACTTTAAACTTACTATCCAGCATAAAGATGCTAAAGCAAATGGAAGAAATGAGGAGTTACAAGAGCTGAACAGCAAATTTCAAGGATCAGCTCGAGAAGATAAAGCCAAATATTACAACAAAATGTGCAAAGATCTGGAATCAGAAAAGCAAAAAGGAAGAACAGTCTCAGCATTTCTCAAGCTGGGGGAACTGAAGAAAAAATTCAAGCCTCGTCTTTTCTTATTGAAAGATTCTCTGGGCAAATTGTTGAATGATGCAGAAAGCATCAAGAGAAGATGGAAGGAATACACAGAGTCACTGTACCAAAAGGAAACGGTTAATGTTCAACCATTTTAAGAGATAGCATATGATCAAGAGCCAATGATACTGAAGGAGGAAGTACAAGGTACATTGAAGGAATTGGTAAAGAACAAGGCACCAGGAATTGATGGAATAAATATTGAAATCTTTCAAGAAAGTGAGGCAGCACAGGGGGCACTCAGTCATCTCTGCCAAGAAATTTGGAAAAGAACTATCAGGCCGACTGATTGGAAGAGATCCGTATTTGTGCCCATTCCAAAGAGAGGTGACATAACTGAATGCAGAAATCATCAGACAATCTCTTTGATATCCCTTATGAGTAAAGCTTTACTAAAGGTAATACAGAAATGGCTGCAAGCATACGTTGACAGAGAACTTCCAGAGGTTCAAGCTGGATGCAGAAGAGGCCATGTAAAAAGGGATATCATTGCTGACGTCCGATGGATCTTGGTTGAAAGCAGAGAATATCAGAAAGATGTTTACCTGTGCTTTACTGACTACACAAAGGTTTTAGATTGTGTGGATCATGACAAGCTATGGACAACATTGTGAAGTATGAGTATTCTGGAACACTTAATTGTGCTCATGAGGAATCTGTACATGGACCAAGAGGCAGTTATTCAAACAGTACATGGGAACACTGAATGGTTTAAAATTAAGGAAGGTGTGTGACAGGGTTGTATTTTTTCACCATACTTATTCAACCTGTATGCTGAGCAAATAATCCGAGAAGAAAAACGTGGCATCAGGATTGGAGGAAGACTCATTAACAACCTACAATATGCAGATGATACAACCTTGCTGGCTGAAAGTGAAGAAGACTTAAAATATTTACTGATGAAGATCAAAGAGCACAGCCTTTGGTATGGATTGCATCTCAATGTAAAGAAAACAAAAATCCTCACCATTGGACCAATAAACAACATTCTTATCAACAGAGAAAAGACTGAAGTTGTCAAGGACTTTATTCTTCTTGTATCAACTATCGACATTCATGGAAGCAGTGGGCAAGAAATCAAAGGACGTGTTACATTAGGCAAATCTGCTACACAAGACCTTTTTAAAGTGTTGAAAAGCAAAGATGTCAGCTTGAGGACTAAGGTGCGCCTGATCCGAGCCATGGTATTTTCAATAACCTCATATACATGCAAAAGCTGGACAGTGAATAAGGAAGATTGTAGAAGAATTGAAGCTTTTGAGTTATGGTGTTGGAGGAGAATATTGAAAGTGCCATGGGCTGCCAAGAGAACCAATAGATCCGTTTTGGAAGACGTGCAGCCAGAGTGCTCCTTGGAGGCCAAGATGGCCAAACTTCGTCTCTCATACTTCGGACATATTGTCTGGAGGAACCAGTTGCTGGAGAAGGATATCATGTTTGGTAAGGTGGAGGGTCAGAGAAAAAGAGGAAGACCCCCAACGAGATGGATTGGCCAAGTGGCAGCATCGATGGACTCAAGCGTGGCAACAATAGTGCGGTTGGCCCAGGATCAGGCAGTGTTTTGTTCTGCTGTGCATAGGGTTGCTATGAGTCGGTACAGACTTGATGGTACCTAACAACAACTACAACATCTGTCAAAGGGTAGCACAGTGGCTCTGTATGATACACACTGAACTGCAAACCACAAGGTCAAACGTTCGAACCCACGGCCCTCTCCAAAGGAGAAAGATAAGGCTTTCTGTTCCAGCAAAGATTTACAACCTCAGAAACCCTACAGAGAGCCACTATAAACTGAAACCAACTTAATGGCACTTAACAACAAAAAACGTGATGATATACTGCTGCAACTGTGTTTAAATTATCTTCAGCAAAATTTTATTTGCATGTGATATTAAATATACTGTTTGATAATTTCCACATTCTGTTGGGTTACCTTTCTTTAAAACTGGAATAAATATAGATCTCTTCTGACCAGTTGGCCAGGTACCTGTCTTCCAAATTTCTTTGTAATTAAGCACAACAGACATTATATTCAGATACAAATAACTATTTTACGTGAGGTAGTTGGAGACAATAGAGGAAATTAGCTTAAAAATTAAAAGTGGGGGATTAAAGGAAAAGTAAAATAACTTCCAAAGGTACCAGCTGAAGCACACTGTAAGTATCTAAAAAAAAAAAAAAAATGCTACTGATTATAAAGAAAACCAGTTTTTTAGTTGGGGTGAGGCTAATTCAGGTCAATCCTTCCCCATTAGGAGCAGCAGTTAAACTTACAGACCGTTGTTGGTGCTGGTGCTAAGTGCTGTGAAGTTGGTTTCAACTCACAGAGACCCTGTATTGAGTGTCCATGGCTTTTAAATCTTTCACTTGAGCAGAAAGCCTTATCTTTCTCCCACAGAGCAGCTGATGGGCTTGAATTGCCAACATTATGGTTTGCAGTACTTATTCTACGGAGCCAAAATTCTCCCCAGTTTACAGATTTGTTGTTGTTAAGTGCCATCAAGTCGGTTCTGACCCATAGCAACCCTGTATCGAGTTTCTGAGAGACAGCTGGTGAGCTTAAACTGCTGTTGAAAGCAGTTCAAACAGTTTTGCAGTCTGGAGCATTAACCCCACAGCGCCACACCAGGACTCCAATTTTATTTTTTTAAAAAGTAATTCAAGCAAGAGAAGAATTGATGCTTTTGAATTGTATTGTTGACGAAGAATATGGAAATTACCCTGGACTGTAAGAAGAACAAGTAAATCTATCTTGGAAGAAGTACTAAGTGCTCTTTAAAAGCAAAAATGGCTAGACTTGTCTTACATGCTTTGGTCACATTATCAGGAGGGACCAGTCCCTTGAAAAGGACAATAATGCTTAATAAACCGTAGGGTCATAGAAAAAGAGGAAGACCCTCAGCAAGATGGGTTGATATAGTATCTGCAACAACGATCCAAAACATAACTATTGTAAGGCTGACTCAGAATTGGGCAGTGTTTCGTTCTGTTGTACATACGGTCACAATGGGTCAGAACAGACTCCATGGCACCTAGCAACAGCAATAATTTAAGCATGCTTTTAAGTGCAAATAAAATATTTCACAAAGTCAAATGTTAATATTATGGTGTTTTTCAATAAGTAAAACATGATAAGGAGTTGAGAACACCAAATTGTGCCAGATGATTATTCAGAAATAGATTGCAAGACTTTTCCTCCCAGGCGTCATGAGTGAACATGAATTGCCAAACTTACAGTTAGCAACAACCTTGTTAGCAATTTCTACCACGTGATTGACATAAATAAGCATGAAATACATCCCAGGATTATTTTACTTACATTCCTACAACTCTCCTCTTGATCTCCATTGTTTGCAGAACACGAACTAGGTGGGACGCTGGGGCTGAAAGCCATAAGGTCAGTCTTGGGTCCTTCCTCAGAGTACACCTTCTGCTGCCTCTGCTGTGAATAGGAGGACCAGCTCCCCACCGCGCTGGAGCACACAAGTTCTGGCTTCCCTGGGCCGCAGGCGCCCTCTTGGGGCGGAGCTGAGCACCGCAGCGCCGTGTACAGCAGTAGAGTGAGCACAAACAGGCTGGACACCGCGCAGATCGCTATGATCAAGTACACGTTGACATCCACCAACGCCGTCTCAGTGCCCACGACGCCCGATGACACACGCGACGACGTCTTCAAAGTCTGACCGCTCTCCACCAACGACACCAGCACGGTGGCCGTGGCCTCCAGTGGCGGCTCGCCGTGGTCTTTCACCAACACTAGCAGGCGCTGGCGTGTCGCGTCAGCCTCTTCCAGGGTGCGCGTCGTGCTCACCTCGCCCGTGTACAGACCCACACGGAATGGACTGCGCGCACCGCCCGCCGCCGGCTGTATCTCATACGACAGCCACGCGTTGTAGCCCGAGTCCGCATCCACAGCGCGCACCTTCGCCACCACGTGACCCGCGCCCACTGTCCGAGGCACCAGCTCGCTCACTGCACCACCGGTGCTGCCAGACCCCGACGGTAGCAGCGCCGGTGCGTTGTCGTTCTCATCCAGCACGAACACATGCAGAGTTACGTTGCTGCCCAGAGGCGGGACGCCTGCGTCGCGCGCGCTCACCTGAAACTGCAGCAGCTCCAACTCCTCGTGGTCCAGTGACTGCAGCGCGTACACCTTGCCGCTCTCGGCGTGCACCGACACGTAGCTCGACAGCGCGCGCTCGCCCACCCGCCGCTCCACCAGCGAGTAGGACACCAGCGCGTTCTCCTGTGCGTCCGCGTCGCGCGCAGACACCGTGAAGATGTGGCTGCCTGGAGGGTTGTTCTCCTTCATGAACACTGTGTACTCTGGCTGTGCAAATGCCGGAGCGTTGTCGTTCACGTCGGCCACCTCCACTGACACGCTGGCTGTTGCCGACAGAGAAGATAATCCCGCGTCCCGTGCTGTCACTACCAACTGGTAGACTGACACGCTCTCGCGGTCCAAAGCGTTTTCCAGCACCAGTGAATAATAGTTCTTGAAGGTGGATACCAGCTTGAAGGGGGTGTGGGCTGTTAAGAAACAGGTCACCTGCCCATTCGTACCAGAATCGCGGTCGGACACAGTGATGAGCGCGATGACAGTGCCCAGAGGAGCGTCCTCTTGAACAGGGAGCGAAAGTGACGTCACCACCAACTCGGGAGCATTGTCATTGACATCCAACACATCTATTAAGACTGTGCAGTGACCAAACATTGGGGGGTTTCCTTTGTCAACTGCTTCTACTTGAATCTTATATAACTTAACTTCTTCAAAATCGACTTTTCCCCTTACTTTTATTTCTCCGCTGACTGAATCTATGCAAAAAGAGGATTCTATATTAGGGGAGACATCAGTTGCGAAGTAATAAAGAATTTTGCTGTTTGATCCCTCGTCCAAATCCGAGGCGTTTAATCTAATAATCAGTGTGCCGTTGCTTGCATTCTCCAGTAACCTTACACGATACACTGTTTTGTCAAACACTGGGGCATTGTCATTTACATCCAGCACTGTAATACGTAACTCTACAGTTCCTGTCAGTTCAGGTTTACCCCTATCCATTGCTTTGAGCACCAAGAGAAGCTTTGAAGCGACTTCCCTGTCCAAAGATTTTTTTAAAACTAACCCGAGCGGCTTTACCTGCTCATCAGTGGTCGGTACATCCAGCGAGAAATACTCACTGGGGCTCAATCTGTAATACAGCACAGCATTGTCCCCAACGTCTGCATCAGAGGCGCCCTCTAGAGGAAAATGAGAGTCAGGAGCCCTACTTTCGGAAATAAACAGATTCTTTTGTGTCGCTGGGAACACCGGTGGGTTGTCATTAATATCCTTCACCTCCACCTCTACATGGAAAACCTGCAGCGGCTTGTCCACGATCACCTCCAGGTGGATGCTGCACATCGCGCTCCGCCCGCACAGCTCCTCGCGGTCGATCCGAGAATTCACAAACAAAATGCCATTCTGCAGATTCACCTCCAGAAGCTCCCTGCGGTCTTTGGACGCCACCCGGAACAGGCGCGGCACCAGCTCCTCCAACTCCAGTCCCAAATCCTGCGCGATGCGGCCCACAAAGGTGCCGTGTTTGGCCTCCTCAGAGACAGAGTAATGGACCTGGCCGCTCCCCACCTTCCAGGCTGAGAGAAGAAGAAGTGACAGCAGCAGACACCTGGTTTTCTGGCCACTGGGTCGGGAAGCTACAGTCATGCCTCTCTTCCAGCTAATAAATAAATATGTCATAACTTAGAAAGGTGCAGTCCTATTAGGAGCTTTTCTTTGATTTCTTGCTTCTGAGATACCAGCTGATCTTAATAGCATGGGTGTGTTTGTCCTCTTTAAAGCTCTTAAACAGCAGAGCTTTTTCTGGCCTCGGAATAATCGCGATTTTCTTCCGTTAAAGAACTCCTTGGAGAACAACGACATCCTGTGGCTCAATATGTAAGTGCAATTGAGTTTATTTCATTTCTTTATTCTGCATTGCCTTTCTTTATTCCTGTGTTTTCATCGTTGTTGTTGACTTTTAAAAGTCTTTCATTATGTCTCCATTGTGTACCACTTTAAAGGTCATTTTGCTGTACAAATTGGAATTTTTAAAAAGAGCTTTATCTTGATTAGAGATAACTAACAGAACATACTACTGCACCAATATACTCTCATGTATTTAAACATGAAAAAAATCCATACTTGTAAGATATTAGTGATTCTGGTTCAGTATATATTTATATATACATATATATATATATATTGACAGTCACTGAGAAAATAAAAATTTAGTTACTTTTAAAAATTATAAATGGATATTCAATGGAATCTTAGGTTTTATGCAAAAGTTAGCTTCAACTCTTCATTTTAAACTTTTAAAAATAGTGATTTTACATATATTGTTGTTGATAAGTGCCGTTGAGTCAGTTCTGACCCATAGCCACTCTGTATAGGGTTATCGAGAAGCGGCTGGTGAGCTTGCACCACCAACTTTGTGATTCAAAGCCACTTTGCAGTCCAGCGCATTAACCCACAGAACCATACCAGTACACACTCTTAGTACTTTTAGAATGTACTTTTAGAAACATCATTTTTTATATACTGTCTTAAAATCTATCCCATTCCTAATACTATAATTTTCTGTTGCTTAATCTTGATATTGTGTTAAATTATTTTAGATATTTGATCTAACTTTATAGATGACTCAAGTTGTAACTTTTATTTAAAATCCTGGCATCTCAGGATTTTAAATAAGTGCTGACATGTAAGGTACTTATCCTGGTGCAGTGCGGTAGGATAAGCACTAGACTTCTAACTGCAAGGTCCACAGTTCAAACCCACTGGTCGCTCCTTGGAAACCCTATGTTGTAATTGTTAGGTGCTGTCCAGTCAATTCTGACTTAAAGAGACCTTATGTGCAACAGAACGAAACACTGCCCAGTCCTGCACCAACCTCCCAGTTGTTGCTATGTTTGAGCATATCGCTGCTGCCACTGTGCCACTCTCATTGGGGGTCTTCCTCTTTTTAGCTGACCTTCCACTTTACCAAATATGATGTCCTTCTCCAGGGACTGGTCCCTACTGATAATATGTCCAAAGCATGAGAGACAAAGTCTGGCCATCTTGGCTTCTAAGAAACATTCTGGTTGTACTTCTTCCAACACAGATGTTTTTTTCTTCTGGCAATTCATGGTATTTTTCAATATTCTTCTCCAATATCATAACTCAAAAGCATCAATTCTTCTATGGTCTTCCTTGTTCGTCATCCAACTTTCACATGCATATGAAGTTATTACAACCACCATGGTCTGGAACACCTTAGTCCTCAAACTGACATCTTTGCTCTTAAACACTTTAAAGGAGTTTTGTGACACAGATTTATCTAATGCGGTACGTTGCTTGATTGCTTGACTGCTACTTCCATGACTGTTGATGGTTGATCCGAGCAAAATGAAGTCTTTGACAACTTTAATCTGTTCTTCATTTATCATAATTTTTTGAAAATTAACGTAATAAAGGTCATTTAAAATTCTATATTTGAAAATAAAATAACCTTATGAATTAATATGCCTCACAGCATAATATATCTTAAAATATACCTTGCAAATATTTGTAAAATATGGAAGGAGTCATGAAAATACATCATTTGTAACTACAACTTAAATCAAATATTTATATTGTAAAAAATGAGTTGAAACAAGTGTCATATTATATACTTTCAAACCTGGCTAGAAGAGACAAAATATAAGACAAATTTCTAGAATTAATTACAGGTAGTCTACAACTTAAACATATTGGAGATACCATGAACTGCACTTACGACCATCAGTATATTTGGAACATTGCATTTTCCAGAGAGGAATTTAGGGGAAATGAATGCAGGGGTTAATAGGGGCAAAATCACCAACTTATATTAACACACTTCAAGCATTTGATCAGGATATAATGGAAAATAATCCGTATGGCAAGAATGATGCATTAAGAACTTGATATTCCTGATGTGCAACAGCTCATAAATCATAAAGAAGGAAATTGACAGATAGGGACTAATACATTTTTTAAATGTAAGAAATGAAATGAAGAAGAAGAGAGCTATAATACAGAACAGGAAAGAAGTTGTCAAAAATGTTTACAGTGAAAGAATTAGCTGATTTTTTCCCCCCTAAATTAAACCAGCTGCTTCAGTTGTTTCAAAACAGGGACCCAATACTGATTGTTTTGTTAAAGTCAGTAGGCAGATTCTGGAAGCAGTAGAATGTTCTCATGATGTATATGAAGAAAAAGAAGAAAAGAATAATATAGACAACCCTCAATAATTTTCTGACTAGAAAAGCGGAGCCCATTCCCAGGGAAAATCTACATGATACAGAACCTTCTACAAGTGGAGTTATTACAATTGCCAATGTCATCCAACTCTTTTTCATCGTCAAAGTAAATTTTTATGATTCAATATTTTTTATGGAATCCTGTTGTGACTCTGTAGGATAAGCACTGAACTGCTAACCGCAGCAAGGTTGACATGACAGTTCAACCTTACCAGCTGCTCCTGGGATACCTTGTACAGGGATCACTGAGTAGGAATCAACAAGATGCGCTTAACAAGTAAGCATTAAAATATATCTGTAAGTTTATATGTAAGTTTCCAACTACCAAAGACAAAAAAGGTAGAATTTATAAAGATACTGATAATAAAAAGCAACAGTAATGAAGACAATTGCAGGGAGAGGAAGTGACTTAGACCAATTTATGTCCTTTGGAGAACCTTGGTCATAAATTGGGGACTACCTGTATATTGGAGTCCTGGTATGGTGTTGTTGGTTAATGCTCTGGACTACAAAATCAGTTTGAACCTCAAGGTCAGTCGTTCAAGCTCACCAGTTGCTCCTCAGAAACCCTATACAGGGTCGCTATGAGTCAGAACCGACTCGACGACACTTAACAACAACCTGTATATTAAGGAATGCAGTGGCTCTGGGGACAAACACCGGACTGAGTCTCCACGGGAGAAAGATAAGGCTTTTTACTCCTACAAAGATTTACAGCCTCCGAAACCCAATACATGGTCGCTATGAGTCGGAACCTACTCAACAGCACTTAACAACAACAATCTATATATTACAATAAGTACTAAGATAAATATTTGAGAATAAACAGCATACACACACAAAAAAAATAATAAACGTACTCCTGGAATTATGCTTGAGACTTATGAGATAAGAATAAACACTCACAAAGCAAAATAGGAAAGTAAAAATTCAATAACCCACCTTCCCAGAGTGGTCCCCTACAATAATAGCCTGTTCTTCCACTTCCACATCAGACACTGGACACGGTGGGAGGCTGGGACTGAAGGCCATGAGGTCTGTCTTGGTCGGCCCATCCCCTGAGCTTACCCTCTGCCTCCTTTTCTGTGAGTAAGACCAGCTCTCCACTGCACTTGAGCACACCAGGGCAGGCTTACCCGGCCCGCACACGCCCTCTGTAGGCGGCGCCGAGCACCGCAGCGCCGTGCACAGCAGCAGCGTGAGCACCAGCAGACTGGAAACCGCGCAGATGGCAATGATTAGGTATACGTTGACATTCACCAGGGTTACCTGCGGGCCCACGGCGCCCGACGACACCCGCGACGACGTCTTCACAGTCTGGCCGCTCTCCACCAACGACACCAGCACGGTGGCGGTGGCCACCAGAGGCGGCTCGCCGTGGTCCTTCACGAGCACCAGCAGGCGCTGACGTGGTGCATCTGCCTCGTCCAGAACTCGTGTCGTGCTCACCTCGCCCGTGTACAGACCCACGCGGAACGGACTGCGAGCGCCGCCAACCGCAGGTTGCAGCTCGTATGACAGCCACGCGTTGTAGCCCGAGTCCGCGTCCACAGCGCGCACCTTCGCCACCACGTGGCCCGCGCCCACTGTCCGAGGCACCAGCTCGCTCACTGCGCCGCTCGCGCCGCCAGACCCAGGCGGCAGCAGCGCCGGCGCGTTGTCGTTCTCATCCAGCACGAACACCTGCAGAGTCACGTTGCTGCCCAGAGGCGGGAAGCCTGCGTCGCGGGCGCTCACCTGGAACTGCAGCAGCTCCAGCTCCTCGTGGTCCAGCGGCTGCAGCGCGTACACCTTGCCGCTCTCGGCGTGCACCGACACGTAGCTCGACAGCGCGCGCTCGCCCACCCGCCGCTCCACCAGCGAGTAGGACACCAGCGCGTTCTCCTGTGCGTCCGCGTCGCGCGCAGACACCGTGAAGATGTGGCTGCCTGGAGGGTTGTTCTCCTTAACAAACACCGTGTACTCGGGCTGTGGGAACGTGGGAGCGTTGTCGTTCACGTCGGCCACCTCCACAGACACGCTAGCTGTAGCTGACCGAGAAGGCGATCCCCCGTCCCGCGCTGTCACTATGAGCTCGTAGGCCGACACTGTCTCGCGGTCCAGGGTGCCTCCCAGCACTAGAGAGTAGTAATTCTTGAAGGTAGACAGAAGTTTGAAGGGAACACCTGGCGTCAGGGTGCAGAACACCTCCCCGTTGACACCTGAGTCCCGGTCGGATACGCTGATTAAGGCGATGACGGTGCCCTCCTGGGCATTCTCTCTGACTGGGAGAGACAAAGAAGTGACAACCACCACAGGTGAATTATCATTGTCGTCCAGGATTTCCACTAGAACGGTGCAGTGACCAACCATAGGTGGAGTTCCTTTATCTGTTACATCCACATGAATTTCATAAGTATTAGTATGCTCAAAGTCAATATCACCATGTACTCTTATTTCTCCCGCTGTTTCATTCATTAAAAATTTCTTTCTTATACTGGATGGGACCAAAGAGCTAAATGAATATGTCATTTCTTTGTTTATTCCTTCATCAGCGTCAGAAGCGTTAAGTCTTATTACTAACGTATGGTTCGCTGAATTTTCATACATCTTAACTTCATAAACGGACCGGTCGAATATAGGGGCATTATCATTGGCATCCAACACCAGGATCAGCAGAGAAACAGATCCCGTAAGTTCGGGTTTGCCTCCATCAGTTGCAGTTAATAACAATTTAAGCTGCGGATTTTCTTCGCGATCCAGCAGTTTTCGCAGAACAAGCGCTGGAAATTTGCCTTTGTCCTTTTTGTTTATAATATCAAGAATGAAAAATTCATTTGGACTGAGTTTGTAAGTAAGCATTGAGTTCTCTCCAGCGTCAGCATCAGACGCGCCTTCTAGAGGAAACCGAGAATCAAGCAGTCGAGATTCGGGGATTGAGAGCTTTTGTTCTGTTACAGAGAACCCTGGCGGGTTGTCGTTAATGTCCTTTACTTCCACCTCTACATGGAAAACCTGCAACGGCTTGTCCACGATCACCTCCAGGTGGATGCTGCATACCGCGCTCCGCCCGCACAGCTCCTCCCGGTCGATCCGAGAATTCACAAACAAAATGCCATTCTGAAGATTCACCTCCAGAAGCTCCCTACTGTCTTTGGTCGCCAACCGGAACAGGCGGGGCACCAGCTCTGTCAGCTCTAGACCCAGGTCCTGCGCGATGCGGCCCACAAAAGTGCCGTGTTTGGCCTCCTCAGGAACGGAGTAGTGGACCTGGCCACTCCCCACTTTCCAGATCGTAAGAAGCAGAAGCGAAAGCAGCAGGCGCTGGACTCTCTGACCGCTTGACCTGGAAATCAACATCCTACCTTTCTCCTGTATCACAAATCGATGAAGAGCACACAACGCTCAAATTTTCCTATTTGATTTCTTACAAACCAATCTCCTCGAAATGGCTGAGATCTCAAAATGAACCTACTTCCTTCCTAGTCCTTGAGAAGCCGTGGATTATGCCTTTGTTCTAAAAATCCATTTTGTGGATGACAGCGACATCCGGTGGTTTAACATGTAAGTACAATTCAGAGAGTTTAACAAGGTAGCTTTTACTTTTATATTATATTTTTTATTTCTATAAATTTTAAAGATTCATATTGTGTCTTTTACTTGTGTAACAATAATCAATGATGATCCTAGGTTCAATGTGTTTTTAAAGAAGAATTTCAAAGAAATATTACCCTCCCTAACGATGGCACTTAACAACAAACCACATTGTTATCATTAGCTGAAGTTTAAAATGTCTTTAATATCTTATAATGCTGAGTGTACTAATAGTATGCTGAATGACAATTTTAAATCTCTTTAAGTTATAATACTTGATTTCAATTTCCTTTGCATTATTTTGAGATTCAACGCAACTTATTTGGACACTAATCGCAAGACAGTAATTAATTCTCTGTAAAGTATTTGCAGTTCCTAAGTTTCAGACATCACTAGAATAAAGGCTTCCACATCAAACATTACTCCATACTGATTACTGTTACCCAACTTTCTAGCAATATGACTGGGGAAATCATTTTACCTCTATCTCAGTTTCTACTTCCATAGCATTGGTATAATAATTATGACATATTAAGAGACTAGGATAGTAGCTTGAGAATGAATGTTGCATAATAGTAATCTTTCTAAGGCCTCAGATTGACCACATTCATGTTTTCATGATGTTCAAGATCAAAATTGGCTCCTAGGGGGGAAAGATTACCTAGAGAATGTTGTCATTTTATAATGCTTTATTATTGCCACTGCATACAGAGGCTGAGGGTCTGTGGCTGGAAGTTCTTTTATTGAGAAATCAGTTATATAGAGTGAAGTTTCATTTTATGATATACAACTTACATGGATAAAATGAATCTTAATTATGTTTCTAAATAAGATAACTTACACATTTATATTTTCTACTTTTAGATATAGCTGTTTTCATTTTTGTTATTTAAGTTTTCAAATACCCAAAATACATAGTTTGGGAAATTATTGAATGGTTTTATCAATACAAGTAGTGTCTTTGTTTTCATTTTTGTTTTTTATCACTGCATATACAATGAAAATATTTTTTACTCAAAGATTCTTGGAATCAAGCATCAAGGAGCTGATATTCTCTATTAATGTCTATGTTACTAAAAAAAATCTCCAGGTTTCTCCTTTTCAAAAAAAAAAAAAAGGAAAACTTTAATAACAGGACCTTAGTCTTAACCAAATGTTAATTTATTAAAATTTTTATTATTTATAAAAGATACTTTAAGAAAATCAGTCATTTGAATTTAAAAAGAAGTTCTTGAGAGGAAAATGTCTCTGTCAGGAAGTGTTTTTTTCTAATATCATATATATTTTTTAAATAAGGATATTCTAGGTAGACAAAAAAAGTTTTCAATTAATATATTCTTATCATCTACAGGTATTTAGGAACACTTTTGTGGGAATTGAAATCAATATGTTTGTAATATTGATGGTCAGATTTAGCTTTCTAGAGTAGAACAATTCTTTAAACTATAAAATGGAGAATGGTGTTAACGTTTACTTAATGTGTAGCTAATGAATTGGTTTTGCCACCTAATAGTTTCAGGTGCTATGCAGAGTCCTGGTGTGGCGCTGTGGGTTAACGCGCTAGACTGCACAGTCGGTTTGAACTGCAAGGTTGGTGGTTCAAGCTCACTAGTCGCTCCTTGATAACCTCTAGAGGGTCGCTATGGGTCGGAACCGACTCGACAGCACTTAACAACAACAACATGCAGGCTCAGGAATTCATTTTGACTGTAAGATAAGCACTGGACTGCTAACCACAAGGCTGGCGGTTCAAACCCACCAGTCTCACCTTGGAAACCCTATACAGGATCGCTGAGTCTGAATCCACTCGACAACACTTAACATCAACAACTTATATACTACACGAAATAGACTCCACACCTAATCTGTTGCTTTCATCATTTAAAATCGTTCGCAAAAAGGGAGTAAAAATACAAAAATCTACTCTAAAGTTCAAGTGAAGTCATGGTGTAGCGCTGCAGAATAATGCACTGCACTACAAGGTCAGTTTGAATAGCAAAATCAGCGGTTCAAACCCAGGAGGGTCGTTATGAATCAGAACCGATTCTTAACTTAACAATAACAAATTTCAAGTATTGACTTTCTGTAAATAAAAGACAATGATCTGGCAGAGATACTCAGAATAGATTTAAAGTATTTAATTTTTAAACATCAACACTAAAATAAACAAAATGCTAGAGTAACCCACCTTACCAGAAGAGTTCATAGAGGAAGGTGAATCTACTATTCCATCTGCAGATCCAGGACAGGGCGGGAGGCTGGGGCTGAAGGCCATGAGGTCAGTCTTGGGTCCCTCCCCAGAGCACACCCTCTGCCTCCTCTGCTGTGAGTATGACCAGCTCCCCACCGCACTGGAGCACACCAGCATGGGCTTCCCCGGGCCGCACGCGCCCTCTGGGGGCGGCGCCGAGCACCGCAGCGCCGTGTACAGCAACAGCGTGAGCACCAACAAGCTGGACACCGCGCAGATGGCGATGATCAGATACACGTTGACATCCACCAACGCCGCCTCCGGGCCCCCGGCACTCGACGACACCCGCGACGACGTCTTCGACGTCTGACCACTCTCCACCAGCGACACCAGTACGGTGGCCGTGACCGCCAGCGGCGGCTCGCCGTGGTCCTTCACCAGCACCAGCAGTCGTTGGCGCGGAGTGTCTGCCTCATCCAGGGCACGCGTTGTGCTCACCTCGCCCGTGTACAGACCCACGCGGAACGGGACACGCACACCTCCCGCCGCTGACTGCAGCTCATACGATAACCAGGCATTGTAGCCGGAGTCAGCGTCCACCGCGCGCACCTTCGCCACCACGTGGCCCGCACCCACAGACCGTGGCACAAGCTCGCTTACTGCGCCGCCAGCGCCGCCAGACCCAGAAGGCAGCAATGCCGGCGCGTTGTCGTTCTCATCCAGCACGAACACCTGCAGAGTCACATTGCTGCCCAGAGGCGGGAAGCCCGCGTCGCGCGCGCTCACCTGGAACTGCAGCAGCTCCAGCTCCTCGTGGTCCAGCGGTTGCAGTGCGTACACCTTGCCGCTCTCCGCGTGCACCGAAACGTAGCTCGATAGCGCTCGCTCGCCCACCCGCCGCTCCACCAGCGAGTAGGACACCAGCGCGTTCTCCTGCGCGTCCGCATCGCGCGCCGACACCGTGAAGATGTGGCTGCCTGGAGGGTTGTTCTCCTTCACAAACACTGTGTACTCAGGCTGTGCGAACGCAGGAGCGTTGTCGTTCACATCTGCCACCACCACAGACAAGCTGACTGTGGTCGATAGGGAAGGCGTGCCCCCATCCCGCGCTGTCACTACCAACCTATACTCTGACATGGCTTCATGATCCAGGGTGCCGTCCAGCACCAATGAATAGTAATTCTTAAAGGTGGACACCAACTTGAAAGGAACACGAGGTGTCAGGGAACAGGTCACCTGGCCATTTACACTTGCATCTCCATCAGTCACGCTGATCAAGGCGATGACAGTGCCTAGTGGTGCATCCTCTTTAATAGGGAGCCACAGCGTTTTAACAATCAACTCTGGAGCATTGTCGTTAGCATCTACAACATCCACCAGAACTGTACAGTGACCAGTCAGTGGTGGTAAGCCTTTGTCAATAACTTCGATTCGCATTTTATAGGCTTTACTGTCTTCAAAATCAATATGTCCTATGGCTGTAATTTCCCCATTTGTGGGGTCTATGTGAAATTTAGATTTTACAGTTAGAGGAACATCATTGGTGAATGAGTAAATGATATCTCCATTCAAGCCTTCGTCTAAATCTGAGGCATTAAGTTTAATCACCAATGTTCCGTTTGGAATATTTTCTAGTAATTTCACTTTATAGAGTGTTCTGTCAAAAGTTGGGGCGTGGTCATTGGCGTCAAGCACTGTGATAAGTAACTGAACCGTTCCAGTCAGCTCAGGTTTACCCCCATCAGTGGCCACTAGCAATAAATGAAGCTCTGGTGATTCTTCCCTATCTAAAAGCTTCTTTAATACAAGTCCAAGAGGTTTTGCCTCTTCGTCAGTGGCTGGAACATGCAGCGAGAAATACTCATTAGAGCTCAGTCTGTAAGTCAGCAGAGCGTTGGCCCCAATATCTGCATCGGATGCGCCCTCTAGCGAAAAGTGGGAGTCAAGCAGCCTGGATTCCGTGATAAACAGATTCTTTTGTGTCGCTGAGAACACAGGCGGATTGTCATTAATGTCCTTCACTTCCACCTCCACATGGAAAACCTGCAGCGGCTTGTCCACGATCACCTCCAGGTGGATACTGCACACTGCGCTCCGCCCGCACAATTCCTCGCGATCGATCCGAGAATTCACGAACAAAATGCCGTTCTGCAGATTCACCTCCAAAAGGTCCCCGCAACCTCTGGAATCCAACTGGAACAGGCGCGGCACAAGCTCCTCCAGCTCCAGCCCCAGATCCTGCGCTATACGACCCACGAAGGTGCCGTGTTTGGATTCCTCGGGCACTGAGTAGCGAACCTGGCCCTTCCCTAGCGTCCAGACAGCGAGAAGCAGAAGCGAGAGCAGCAGATGTCTGGCCCCTGAGTCGCCTCTACTTGAGTACATCTCAAATGCTCGGGGTTTTTTTTCTAATTAGCAAAAATTGTCTCAAAATTACAAGAAATGTTCCGATACCTTCAGTCCAGTCCTGATATGCTTGCCATTGCTCAGCACAGAGAGAGTGGGAAAATGGATGGCTTTATTTGTCTCGAATCAGAGAGAAATTCGTGGCAAAGAGTGACATCACGTGGCCCAAAGAGTAAGTACAAATCCCATGAATTCTAACATCATCCTGCTGAGTTTTATTTCATCATCGAATTTTTTTTCATTAGTTACATTTTTTTAAATAGAGGACTACATTTGTCAAGATTGCTAGAGGCATTCTTAAGGAATTGACTGTCTCTGAAAGTTTAGTCAGATTATAATTGGGAGATTCCTCATGCCTAAGAAAACTTGCCATATGACTTTTAAATAGTAACAAAAAAGAAGTGATGACAAAAGTGATTTTAAAAAACAACTATGAATTTTAAATTGGAAATGTCACTATAGAAGCCCCCTTCCCATATTCCTAGATTTAGCATTTTGGTGTAGATCTCCATGATTCACTATCCACTGATCCATTAGCATTCCAGACATTTAAAAGCAAAAGAGAAATGTGTTTGTGTCTGAATGAAAAAACAATTGAGGTATTTCTCTTAAATAATTTTAGAAATTGAAGGTAAGTAAAATATTGTAAGAAAGGTAACAATTTGTCACATGGGAAGAAATATTCTTTATTTTTATCTTTATTAGAATTTATATATTCTATTTCAAGAAGTGTGTTGGGTTCCTATAGCTATATACTTCGATTATGTCTAAACTCTATCATCTATGAATATTTGTCTCCTTTTTACAACCCCCAGTTTATATTATAGCTTTGCATAATATGTTTTTATTTCATTATTGTTCATCCTTAATACAAGGGAGTTTTTCAAATGTTATGTTCGGGATTATTTTTCTTCCTAGTGTGTTCTAGTTAGCAATATAGAGCTCTTCTCCCACTTTCCCAATTTACCGCTAGGTTTTAGTGCTTCCCAAGTCTAAAGCCAAAATCATCCCAGGTACCTGACTGAATCATGTTTTTGCATTCCTATCTTTTCTTTTGTGTTTTTACTGCTACCAATCTAAGTGAAGCTTTTAATTAAATAATCAAGGATATTAACTAAATAATATTATCCTTGATTATTTCAATAGCTTCCCAGTTTATCTCCTTGGCCACCTTAATCTTATTTTAGTTCCTTGAAACATCTTCCTGAACCACAGTGTTGATTTCTTTTGCTCTGATTCTTTTGTTATGTACCAATTTACTTTAGAATAGAATCCAAATTCCTTAGTCTAATACTAAAAGATTTATTGTGTACTTAATTTTTCAAAGAGAATTGCTAATGGAAATGAACATGCAAAGATTTCCAACACCTACTCAGGCCACTGAAGGATTTAAGGAAAACTTAAATATGGTAAAAAGACATCACGAGCAATGCTATCTAGGTTTTCCCTGAGATTATAAATAGCTTTTGAGACCCAAAAAGGTTTTACACATCATGCTATTAACTTGACTCTTGACCTGAAAAAATGAATTTTTAGGTTTTTTTTCCTTATATATATATATATATTATATCATACAGCATTCAAAATATTGATACATCCTTGGTTGTTGAGGTGACCCCATGAAAGATCATTTTTACATAAAATAAGATTAAAATGGATGGCATAATGATGATTTTCTGAACATTTGAAGTTTTTTTTCTCCAATCATTAACTTATTTTCCTCTTGGGAATAATAATAAATAAATTTTATTATGCATTGCCATTAGTCAGACTCAGTTATAAGCACTTTACAGATATTAACTTGCTTGACACAAAAGTTCTATTCAATAGATGCTAGTATTATGGTGCATAAATGTAAAATGAGGCATCAAAATAATAAATGTCCCATCAAAGGGTGGGATTTGAATCCAGAAAACTTCAGAACAAATAATACTAAATGACTAAGCCCTGATACCTTTCATTTTAAAGAAGTAGTTAATAGTCAAAAATGTTACCCTAGAGGGAATAGTGTAAAGCATTAATATCCAAGATGTAGGTGTGAAAAGCAGACCTCCAAAATATCTGAGAGTTGAAAGGACAGAGAACTGAAGTGAAATGATGAGAGTAATCAAATACAATGGTTATTGTTGTTGTTGTTAGGTACCATCAAGTCAGTACCGACCCATAGTGACCTTATGCACAGCAGAAAGAAACACTGCCCGATCCTGGGCCAACCTCACAATTGTTGCCATGCTTGAGCCCATTGATGCTGCCACTTTGCCAATCCATCTCGCTGGAGGTCTTCCTCTTTTTTTCTGACCCTCCACCTTACCAAACATGATATCTTTCTCCAGCGACTGGTCCCTCCTGACAATATGTCCAAAGTATAAGAGACGAAGTTTAGCCATCCTGGCCTCCAAGGAGCACTCTGGCTGCACTTCTTCCAAAATGGATCTATTGGTTCTTTTGGCAATCCATGGCACCTTCAGTATTCTCAAAGTACCCTTATTTCTACACATGGTATTTCATTTAAAAACAACTAAACATTTCAGAGAAGAAGTCAGTAAAGTTCTACTATACGGTAATTTTTACAAAGGAAAAACATTTATTCAACTAAACTAGCACAATAAACATATTTTTTTTAACGCAAAAGTTCTTAAAGTTGAGAACTAAAATTAAAATGATTCATTTTATGTTACAGGTCCTACTGGGTCAATCCATCTCATTGGGGTCTTCCTCTTTGTCTCTGACCCTCTGATTTACCAAACATTTGTCCTTTTCCAGGGACTGGTCCCTCCAGATAATATGTCCTATGTATGAGAGATGAAGTTGGCTATCCTGGCATCCAAAGAGCATTCTGGCTGTAATTCTTCCAACACAGATTTGTTTGTTCTTCTGGCAGACCATGATACTTTTAATATTCTCCACCAAAACCATAATTCAAATGAATCAATTTTTGTACAGTCTTTTTTATTTATTGTCTAACTTTAACATGCTGATGAGGTTATTGAAAATACCATGGCTTGGGTCAGGTGCACCTTAGTCCTCAAACTGACATCTTTGCTCTTGAACACTTTAAGGAGGCCTTGTGCAGCAGATTTGCCCAATGCAATACATGGTTTGATTTCTTGACTGCTGCTTCCATAAATGTTGATGATTGATTGGGGGGAAATGAAGCCTCTGGCTACTTGAATCTTTCTCTATTAATCTTGATGTTATTTATCGATCCAATGGTAAGGATTTTTGCTTTCTTTACACTGAGGTGCAACCCATACCAAAGGCTGTGGTTTCTGATCTTCGTCAGTAAGTATTTTAAGTCCTCTTCGCTTTCAGCATACAAGGTTGTATCATCTGCATATCTTGGGTTGTTAATGAGTCTTCATTCAATCCTGAGGCCACATTCCTCTTCATATAATACAGCTTCTCAAATTATTTGCTTAGCATACAGATTAAAAATGTACAGTGAAAGAATGCAACCCTGGCACACACCTTTCCTAATTTTAAACCATTCAGTGCTCCCTTGTTCTGTTCGAACAACTGCCTCTTGGTCTATGTACAGCTTCCTCATTAGCACAATTAAGTGTTCCAGAATACTCATTCTCCACAATGTTGTTCATAGCTTGTCATGATCCACACAATCAAAAGCTTTTGCATAGTCAATAAAACACAGGTTAACATCTTTCTGGTATTCTCTGTTTTCAGTCAAGATCCACCAGACATCAACAATATCTCTCATTCCATGTCCTTATCTGAATCTAGCTTGAACCTCTGGCAATTCTCTGTCAATGTACTATTGCAGCCATTTTAAAATTATCTTTAGCAAAATTTTACTTGCATGTAATATTAATGATATTGTCCAATGACTTCTGCATTCTGTTGGGTTATCTCTCTTTGGAATGGGCAAAAATGTGGATCTCTTCCAATCAGTTGGCCAGGTAGCTGTCTTCCAAATATCTTGGCTAGATGAGTGAGTGCCTCCAGTTCCACATCAGCTTGTTGAAAGATTTCAGTTTGTATTCCATCAGTTTCTGGAGTCTTGTTTTTTGCCAATGCCTTCAATGCACCTTGGACTTCTTCCATCAGTATCATTGACTCGTGAGCATATGCTACCTCTTGAAATGGTTGAACATCAGCTATTTCTTTTTGATACAGTAACTCTGCATTCCTCCCATACTCTGCTGATGCTTTCTGCATCATTCAATATTTTGCCCATGTTGTTGTTGTTAAATGCTGTCAAATACTACTCATAGCGACCCTGTATAGGGTTTCCAAGGAGCATGGTAGGTTTGAACTGCCAATCTTTTGATTCTCAGTCCATGGCTGATCCTACAGCACCAGAATCCTTCAATATTGCAAGTTAAGGCTTGAGTTTTTTCTTCAGTTCCCCCAGCTAGAGAAATGCTGAGCGTGTTCTTCCCTTTTGGTTTTCTAACTCCAGGTCTTTGCTCATTTCATTGCAATATTTGACCTTGTCTTCTCAAGCTGCCCTTTGAAATTCAGCTCTTTTACCTCCTCATTCCTTCCATTTGCTTTAGTGTCTCTACAATAAAGAGCAAGTTTCAGAGACTCTTCTGACGTCTCCATTTTGGTGTTTTCCCTCTTTCTTGTCTTCTTAATGACCTTTTGTTTTCTTCACGTATGGTGTTATTGCTGTCATTCCACAACTCTTCTGGTCTTTGGTTATTAGTGTCTCATACATCAAATCTGTTCTTCAGATAATATCTAATTTCAGGAGAGATGAGTTCAGTGTCATATTTTGGGTTGCATGGACTTGTCATTTTCTTCAGCTTCAGCCTGAAATTGCCTATGAGCAATTGATAGTTTTTTCCACAGTCTGCACCTGGCCTTGTTTTGGCTGATGATTTGGTGCTTTTCCACTGTCTCTTTCCACAAGTGCAGTCATTTGGATTTTTGTGTATTCCTACTGGTGAGGTCCATGTGTACAGTTAGTTACCTTTTATGTTGTTTTAAGAAGGTATTTTGTTGTTGTTTTTAAAAGGCGTTTTTTAAACAACATTCTTAAAAAGTCATTGGTATTGCAAAATTCTATCATGCGATCTCTGGCATTTTTTCTATCACCAAGGTCATATTTCAAACTACTGATCCTTCTCTTTGTTTCCAACCTTTGGATTCCAATCACCAGTAATTACCAATACCTCTTGATTACACATTTGATCAATTTTAGTATTTTGTACTTATCATTAAACTGTTTTAAAATGGCAGTATATGAACACTACAGATACTTAAGGATCCCTTGTAATATAGTGGGTTATGAATTGGACTGCTACTGCAAGGTCAGCAGTTGAAGTCTACTAGCCACTCCTTGGGAGAAAGATGAGGCTTTCTGCTCCCATAAAGATTTACTTTAGAAATCTCTTAAAGGGTCACTGTGAGTCAGAACCGACTTGATGGCACTCCACCACCACAAATACTATCACTACTGGACAATAAAAGGAATGAAGACTAACAATAAAAGTAACCACAAGATAATATAGAAAATAGAAAACAATAGAAATTATAAAGCTAATCTCAATATCCAGCAAAAAGGGAACTTATCCAAGTAGAATTTGAATCAAAATAGAAACTAAAGTTATAAGATATGCTTACCAATATCTGATTATATTGACAAATACTATTTTAAAATATTTTAATACAGTAATTTTTTAACTGAAAACGAGTTCAAACAGAACCCCCCCCCAAAAAAAAAACTGAAATGCATTGGAAATGATTATAAAATGTCAAAATTAAAGAAATTTGAATTGCAAAATATGAGTTAACTTACTTTGGCGTTTAAATCCTGCTGTTCACTTACATCCTCTGACCTTGGACACGGTGGGAGGCTGGGGCTGAAGGCCATAAGGTCGGTCTTGAGCGGCCCCTCCCCAGAGCACACCCTTTGCCGCCTTTGCTGTGAGTATGACCAGCTCCCCACCGCACTGGAGCACACCAGCGCAGGCTTCTCCGGCCCGCATGCGTCCTCTGTAGGCGGCACCGAGCAACGCAGCGCCGTGTACAGCAGCAGCGTGAGCACCAACAGACTGGACACAGCGCAGATGGCGATGATCAGATACACGTTGACATCCACCAGAGCCGCCTCCCGGCCCGCGGTCCCCAACGACGTCCGCGACGATGTCTTCAGAGCTTGGCCGCTCTCCACCAGCGACACTAGCACAGTGGCCGTGGTAGTAAGCGGCGGCTCACCGTGATCCTTCACCAGTACCAGCAGGCGCTGGCGCAGCGCATCCGCCTCGTCTAGGGCCCGCGTCGTGCTCACCTCGCCCGTATACAGACCCACACGGAACGGGCTGCGTGCACCGCCCGCCGCCGGCTGCAACTCATACGACAGCCACGCGTTGTAGCCCGAGTCCGCGTCCACAGCGCGCACCTTCGCCACCACGTGACCTGCATCTACCGACCGTGGCACCAGTTCACTCACTGCGCCGCCTGCGCCGCCAGACCCAGGCGGCAGCAGCGCCGGCGCATTGTCGTTCTCATCCAGCACGAACACATGCAGAGTTACGTTGCTGCCCAGAGGCGGGAAGCCTGCGTCGCGCGCGCTCACCTGGAGCTGTAGCAGCTCCAGCTCCTCGTGGTCCAGTGGCTGCAGCGCGTACACCTTGCCGCTCTCGGCGTGCACCGACACGTAGCTCGACAGCGCGCGCTCGCCCACCCGCCGCTCCACCAGCGAGTAGGACACCAGCGCGTTCTCCTGCGCGTCCGCGTCGCGTGCCGACACAGTGAAGATGTGACTGCCTGGAAGATTGTTCTCCTTCACAAACACCGTGTACTCTGGCTGTGCGAACGTGGGCGCGTTGTCGTTCACGTCGGCTACTTCCATGAACAAGCTAGCTGTGGCCGACAGAGAAGGCAAACCCAGATCCCTCGCTGTCACCTTCACCTCATAGGCGGACACTCTCTCACGGTCCAGTATGCTGTCTAGCACCAGGGAATAGTGATTCTTGAAGGTGGACACCAACTTCAATGGAGCGTGGGGCGTCAAAGAGCAGATCACTTGCCCATTTTCACCATCATCTTGGTCGAACACAGTGATCAGGGCGATGACAGTACCAAGTGGAGCATCCTCTCTGACAGGGAGGGACAATGAAGTCAAGGTAATCTGAGGAGCGTTATCATTAATATCTAAGATTTTTACTAAAATTGTACAATGACCCACCATAGGAGGGTGGCCTTTGTCTGTGGCATCAACGCGGATTTTATATGAATTAACTTTTTCAAAATCAAGATTCTTTTGAATAGTTATTTCTCCCGTATTTGGATCTATACTAAATTGGGCAAAAACCATGGATGAAACAAGGCTATTTAACGAGTACAAAATTTCCTTATTTACTCCTTCGTCCCGATCAGAAGCATTAAGTCTGATAACTACTGTTCCATTTTCAGCGTTTTCAAATATTCTTACTTCGTATTCAGACTGGTCGAAATTAGGAGCGTTATCATTCACATCCAATACGGTGACCAGCAACTGAACAGTGCCAGTAAACTCAGGTTTGCCCCCGTCAGCGGCAGTCAGAAATAAATTATGTTCAGGTGCTTCCTCTCTGTCCAAGGATTTCTTTAATACGAGCTCAACCTGTTTATTCTCCTCATTCTTTGAATTCACATCTAATGTGAAGTAATCGCTGGAGCTAAGCTTATAGGTTAAAACGGAGTTAGCCCCAATATCTGCATCGGATGCTCCCTCTAGTGGAAATCGTGAATCTAGCATTCTTGATTCTGAAATAAACAGCTTTTGTACCTTTACTGGGAACGTAGGCGGGTTATCATTAATATCCTTCACCTCCACTTCCACATGGAAAATCTGAAGCGGTTTATCCACGATCACTTCAAGGTGAATGCTGCATACCGCGCTCCGCCCGCACAACTCCTCGCGGTCGATCCGAGAATTCACAAACAATATGCCGTTCTGAAGATTCACCTCTAGAAGCTCCCCATGGCCTTTGGACCGCACCCGGAACAGGCGCGGCACCAGCTCCGCCAGCTCCAGCCCCAGGTCCTGCGCGATGCGGCCCACGAAGGTGCCGTGCTTGGCTTCCTCCGGAACCGAGTAGTGAACCTGGCCTTTCCCAGTCTCCCAGGCTGAGAGGAACAGAAGCGAAAACAGCAGACGCCAGGATCCCGGTGCTCCTCGCCAGGAAAACACCATTTCAAGTACTAGTTTTATTCGTATCAGACGATCGTGTCTTGAAATAAAATGAACTATTGTATTGTCTGCAGTCTTTTAATCCAATTCCCTTTCACTCGCCATTGTTGAGCACTTAAAAGACAGATACAATCGGAGAATCTTCTTTGGAGTGTGGCTAAAGATAACTTCTTGGGAGACAGCGACATCAAGCGGCTCGAAAGGGTAATGATTACATAAATTTACCTCTTTTTATTTGGGTACTTTTAATCAAATAAATATTTTCTTTTTCTTAATCCCAATAGGAAGTCCTTAAATTGACAAATGTAGAGATACATTTTATACTGTCTGGTTCTAGAATTGATTTCGTTTCAGTTGGTGATTCTTTTCTTCAAATGGAAAGAAATTTCTTATCAATATTTTAACTATTGGTATCAATTAGCAATAAATTGAAGTATGATCTGGGCATTCCATGGGTATTAGAGATACAAAATTATCCTCTATATTTTTGTTTGGAATAAATGTGTTCAGGTTTACCTCATCACAGAAAATGCTGGTATGTATGATTTGAGAATGAAAATATGACTGTAATTTTACTATTTTTCTTGGGTTATAGTTCAGTTTCTATTTTTATTTTCTCTGTTAATGTCACTTATTTCTAATAGAATATTCTTTAATACCTCTGCAGCTTGTTAAAATAGGCCTCTCACCCTTAAAACAATTTCTCTTCCACACATACAAAAAAACAACAACAACAACAACCTTATTAGCATTTCTACTATTGGTATTTTCTGTTAGTTCTCATCTTTATGCTAATCCAAAATATACACATTTTCCAAATTTATACAATTAGTCTTTTTAGTTTGTCAATCCTTTTCCTTTAAGTGTTTCTATTTACTTCCATTCCTTAAAATACTTTCATGGCTTTATTATACAACATGATGTTTGCAAATATTCCTAAGTCCATATCTTCAACCGTATTTTAATTTTTTTACTGACATTTTCACTTGCAAACCCTACTATTGCCTATAAAACTAGTTGACTAAAAATTATTAATGTTGTTGTTATGTGTCATCAAATTGATTCAGACTCTAATCAATTGTTACCACAAATCTAAGTATTTGAAAGTCACATTGTGTTTTTATAGCATGACCACTCTCCAAACTCACTTATATGTATTTCTATTATGACTCTTTTTTTGCCTATATTTCATCTCTCCTTTCACATCTTATAACTTCCATGCTTATGAATACAGCTTATATTTTCTAATAAAGAAAATGTCAAGACATTATATTTACAATATAAGAGATACCCCATATCTGCAACTAATTTTCAATATGGATCCTTTTTCTTTTTAAAATTAAAAAAAAAAAGACATTTCTTCCCTAGCACACAGTTTGTTTTAGGTGTTTTTTTTATTGCTTTGTCTTATCTGTCAAACTCTATCCACCCTTCAAAGGTCAAATCATATGTTATTTATCTGCATATTCATTATAAAAGCCTCAATAGTAAGTGATTGTGCTCTCGCTTTGGCTTCTTGCAAAAGCAGTTCTCCAAGGGGGAGATGAGGGATCATCCATCACTATTCAAAACTCTAGCTTAAATAGCCTCACAGGTGATTATGATACAAATAAATTATTTAATCAGGAAATCTGTCTAACTGAAATTATTCTAGAGGAGATTATCACTGTCTTGCTATTTGTAGTTTTGTTTTGTTTCCAAGGAAAACAAAGGGTTCCTTCACTTATACTCAGAGATGCCTTCATGAAGTACATATGGTATTTTTTACATTGAGTGTTTTCTTGGATGGTCACATTTATTTTCATAATCTTGGCCCTTACTTAAGGGTCTATTCAACTTTCAATTTGTAAAATTTAAGTAAATCATCACATAAGGGTTTTTAGTCAAGATTCTAGCAATCCAGATACGTGATGGTATAACAGGTAGTCACTGTGATGTTTTTATTACCTAAAGCTAATAAAGAGCAAAGGTACTGAAAGTCCTTGCAAAATGGAGTGTGACATGGAAAAAGAAAATGAGAGTCTTTCCTGAGAAATACTTGTCTTGTTTTATATACTCAATTACTATTTCTATAGATAATTCTAAAGAAAAACATGTAGAGAAAATAACATTATTTAAAGTCCTTGGAGAGCATGATGGCTCTGTAGGTTAAACACTGGACTGCCACTGCTCCGTGGGAGAAAAATGAAGTCTCCTGTTCCCACAGATATTTACAGCCTCGGAAACCCTATACAGGGTCACTGTTAAGTCTGAACCAACTCAACAGCACTTAACAGCAAGAAGAAAAGGAAAATACCATGGTCATGATAGAAGTCATATAGTTTAAATATCTGAATAATAATTTACCTTTTAAAAAATAATGAGATAAGTAAGATTTAAAAGAAAGAAAGAAATAACAAATGTTGGTGGGAATGTGTAGAAATTGTAACCTTTTCCCATTGCTGGTGGGATCACAAAGTGGTACAGCCATTGTGGGAAACAGTATGGTAGTTCCTCAAAAGTACTAAAAATAGAACTACCATAAAACCAAAAATCTTAAACCCACTGCCATTGAGTTAATATAACTTAGAGTGGCCTATATAAGGTGCCTGAGACTAGATCTCTACTGGAGCAGACACCCTTATCTTTCTCCCAAGGAGTGGCTCGTGGGTTTGAACCCAGTGATTTCACTCCTAGGTATGCACCTAAAAGACTTGAAAACAGAGACTTGTGCAACAATGTTCATTTCAGCATTAATCACAACAGCTCAAAAAATGGAAACCATCTAAATGCCCACCAGTAAATGAATGGATAAACAAAATATGGTATGTATATATAATGAAATACTACTCAGTCAGTAGAAGAAATGAAGTCTTGATACATGCTACAAGATGGATGGAGCTGGAAAACTGAAATAAATCAATCACAAAAGGACAAATACTGGATAATGTTACTTAGATAAAAATACAAGAAAAGGCAAATATATAGAGAACAAAGTTTACTAGTGGCTACCTGGGGAAAGAGAGAGGGGAAAGGGGAGAATTTTAAAAAAGAAAAAGTAATGAGAGTTGCTACATACAGATGAGTATAATGGGGAGAATCCATTATCATCTTATAACTTCTAAAAGTATATGGGATTTTAGAAATGTTTTTTATTAATGGTATTTTTAAAGTATGTATTGTTGTCAGGTGCCATATTGGTTCTGACTCATAGCAACCCTTACACAATAGAAGGAAACTTGGTCCTGCACCATCCTCACAATTGTTGTTATGTTTGAGCCCATTATTGCTGACATTGTGTTAATCCATCTCACTGGGGGTCTTCCTCTTTTTTGATGACCCTTCATTTTACCAAGAATGATGTCCATCTCCAGAAATTAATCTCGTACTCATGTCCAAAGTATGAGAGATGAAGTTACACCATCTTTACTTTTAAAAAGCTTTCTGGCTGTACGTCTCCAAAGACAGATTTGTTTGCTCTTCTGGCAGTCCACGGTACTTTCAATATTCTTCACCATTCAAATGCTTCACTTCTTCTCTGGTCTTCCTTATTCACTGTCCAACTTTCACATGCATATGAATCAATTAAAGATACCATGGATTTGGTCAGGTGCACCTTAGTCCTAAAATTATATCTTTGCTCTTTAACACTTTAAAGAGTTATACATACATGTGTGCAATTGTTAAGTGCTGTCAAGTTGGTTCCAACCCTGTATCGGGTTTCTGTGGGGCAGCTGGTGAGTTTGAACGACTGACCTTGCAGTCCAGCGCTTTATCCTACAGAGCCACATCAGGACACACTAATTTGTCTAATGTAATATGTCACTTGATTTCTTGACTTCTGCTTCCATAAGCACTGATCGTGGACCCAACTAAAATGAAGTCGTTGATAATGTTAACCTTTCCTGTTTATCATGATGTTATTTATTAGTCCAGTTGTGAGGATCTTCTGTTTTCTTAATATTGAGGTGTAATATGTACTGAAAGCTGTAGTCTTTGATCTTCATCAGTAAGTAAGTATTTCAAGTCCTCTTCACTCTCATTAAGTAAGGTTGTGTCATCTTGCATACCACAAGTTAATAGTAGTGGGTTATATATCCACAATTAAGTGTTCTGAATAACCACTCTTTGCAATGTTATCCATAGTTTGTTATGATCCACACAATCGAATGTTTCTGCACAGTAAATAAAGTACAAGTAAACATCTTTCTGGTATCCTCTGTTTTCGGCCAAAATCCATCTGACATCAGCAATGATATCCCTAGTTCCACGTCCTCTTCTGAATCCAGCTTGATTTTCTGGCAGTACTGTTGTAATGTTTTTGAATTATCTTCAGCAAAATTTTATTTGTGTGTCATATTAATGATATTGTTTGGTGATTTCCACATTCCATTGGGTCACCTTTCTTTGGAATGGCCACAAATGTGGATCTTTTCCAATTAGTTGGCCAGGTAACCAAATTTCTTGGCATAGACAAGTGAGGGCTTCCAGCATTGCATCAGTTTGTTGAACAATTTTAATTAGTATTCCATCAATTCCTAAAGTCTTGTTTTGTGCTAATGCCTTCAATTCAGTCTGGACTTCTTCCTTCAATACCATGGGTTCTTGATCATGTGGCACCTCTTGAAATGACTGAAGATCGACTAATTCTTTTGATACAGTGACTCTGTGAATTCCTTTCTTCTTCTTTTGATACTTCCTGTACCATTCAACATTTTGCCCATAGAATCCTTCAATACTGCAGCAGAAGTGCTTGAGTTTTTTCTTCAGTTCTTTCTGTTTGAGAAATGCTTTTCGTTTTCTAACTTTGTACATTTCATTATAATATTTTACTTTGTCTTCTTTAGTTACCCTTTGAAATTTCCTGTTCAGTTCTTTTAAATTTCAACATTTCTTCCAGTCATTTTAGAGTCTCTATGTTCAAGAGAAAGTTTCTTCTGATATCTATTTTGGTCTTTTCTTTCTTTCCTGTCTTTTTAGTGATCTTTTTCTTTCTCCATATCTGGTATTCTTGATGTCATCCCATAACTGATCTGGTCTTAAGTCATTAGTGTCTAAGGCATCAAATCTGTTCCTGAGATGGCCTCTAAATTAAGGGGGAACAATGTGGCACTGTGGGATAAAGCACTAGACCTCAAGGTCAGTTTGAGCCACAAGATCACCAGTTCAAACTCACCAGCCAATCCTTGGAAACCCTATACAGGGTTGCTATAGATCAGAACAGACTCAACAGTACTTAACAACAATACTTAAGGTCATGTTTTCACAATTATGGACTTATTTTAATTTTCTTCGGCTTCAGCTTGAACCTTGTGAAGTGCCATTGAGTCGGTTCCAATCCATAGGATTTCCAAGGAACAGCTGGTGAGCTTGAACTGTTGACTTTGCTGTTCAAACTGACTTTGCAGTCCAGCTCATTAATCCACAGCACCGCATCAGGACTCCTCCCAGCTTGAACCTGCACATTAGCAATTGATGGTTTGTTTCATAGTCAGCCCCTGGCCTTGTTTTGGCTTATGATATTCAACTTCTCCGTCATCTCTTCTAACAGATGTAGTCAATTTGATTCTTGTGTATTTTTTCTGGCAAGGTCAATGTATATAGTTGTTCTTTATATTGTTGAAAACAATGTATTTGCAATGTGTAAGTCATTGGTCTAGCAAAATTCTATTATGTGATATCCAGCAGCATTTCTATCACCAAGGCCATATTTTCTAACTACTGATCGTTCCTCTTTGTTTCCAACATTCATGTTCTAATCATGAGTAATTATCAATTCATTTTGATTGGATGTTTGACTAGTTTCAGACTGAAGAAGTTGTTTTTTGTTGTTAACTGCTGTTGAGTCAGTTCTGAAACATAACAATCCTGTATAAGGTTTCCATGGTTTCTGTATAGTACTATAGAATCAGCACTGGACTACAAAATACCAGGTCAGCAGTTCAAACCCACCAGCTGCTCCTTGGAAACCCTATACAGAATCACTATGAGTCAAAGCTGACTTGACAGCACATAACAGCTTACCATAAGGTTTCCAAGAAGCAGGTATTGGGTTTGAGCTACAAACCTTGTGGTTAGGAGTCCAGTGCTTATCCTATAATGCCACACCAATTTCATCATCATGGACTTAAGTGGTTAGTGCATAAATATGAATAATAATGGTATTTGCTGGTCTTCTTATAGGCATATGGATATTTCAATTGGTGGAATGTACAAAGTAAAAATCTATGAAAATTGGAAGTCATACATAATGAAATGGAATGCATATAAATTGATATCCTAGGTGTTGTTGTCATTGTTAAATACCATTGAGTTGATTCTGACTTATAGCAACCCTGTATAGGGTTTCTGAGGAGCAGTTGGCAGGTTTGAACTGCTGACCTTATGGTTAGCAGTCTAGTGTTTACCTTATAGCGCCACACCAGGACTCTATCCTAAGCATTAATGATCTGAAATTGACAGGTATTAGCCATTTTGAATTGGACAATCATATGGATTACTATGCTGGAAATAATAAAGATGAAAGGTATTGCATTCATCCTCAGAAGGTATAGATCAAGATCTATGTTGAACTATAATACTGTTTGTGATAACATAATATCTATATAATATCAAAGGTAATTATATGCATGGACCTCAACAGATGAAAGAGACTAGAATAAAATTGACTACATCTACCGAAAGAGTCAATGGAGAAGCTCAATACCACCAGCCAAAACAAAGCCAAAGGCTGACCGTTGAACAGACCATCAATTGCTCATATGCATATTCAGATTGAATTTGAAGAAAATTAACAAGAGCCCAAATGTGACCTTGAGTGTATCCCTGACTTTAGAAACAAAAAATATAATTGATTGATAGTCAACCATTTCATGAGCCCAAGGTGTTAAAGGAAAAAGTCCAAGCTGCACTGAAGGCATTAGCGAAAAATAAGGGTCTGATTAGACAAAAAAATAATTGAAATGTTTTAACAAACTGATGCAATGCTTATGGTACTCATTCGTTTATGCCAAGAAATTTAGAAGATAGCTACCTATGGAAAGAGATCCATATTTGTGCCCCTTCCAAAGTAAGATGACCCTACAGAATGCTGAAATTATTGAACAATATCATTAATATCACACACAAGTAAAATTTTGCTAAAGAGCATTTAAAAATGGTTGCAGCACTACATCAATAGATAACTGCTAGAAATTGAAGCTGAATTCAAAGAGGACATATTGATGTTGTAACTGGTAAGTCCATCGAGTAAAACTCATAGTGACCCTATATAGGGTTTTCGAGGAGCAACTTGTGGGTTTGAACTGTCAACCTTGTGGTTCACAGTCCAATGCTGATCCTACTTTTCCACACCAGAACAAGGGATATCATTGCTGACGTCAGAAGGATCTTGGCTAAGAGCAGAGAATATCAGAAAGATGATTACTTGTGTTTTATTGGCTATGCAAGGGCATTCAACTATGTGAATCACAGCAAACTATGTATAAAATTTCAAAGAGTGGGAATTTCAGAACACTTAATTGTGCTCATGAAGAACCTGCACATAGACCAAGAGGTAGTTGATCAAAAAGAACAAGGTGATACTGTGTGCTTAAAATTAGGAAAGGGTTATAAATTTTCACCATATTTATTCAATCTATATAAATAATCTGAGAAATTGGACTATATGCAGAAGAACTCAACATTAGCGTTGAGAAAGGCCACTTACAACTTTCAACAAAATTCAAGGTTGTGAATAATACAACCTTGCTTGCTGAAAGCAAAGAGGACTTAAGAAACTTGCTGATGAAGATCAAAGAATACAGCCTCCAGTTCAGATTATACCTTAGCAAAAGAAAACAAAATCCTCACAACTGGACCAATAAGCAACATCATAACAATTTTTTAAAAGATTGAAGTTGTCCAAGATTTCATTTTACATGAATCCACAATCAGTGCTCCCGGAAGTAAGAGTCAAGAAGAACTATAAGGACCTGTAAAAGATCTCTTTAAGGTGTTAAAGAGCAGAGATGTCAATTTGAGGACTAAGGTGTACTTGACCTAAGCCTTGATATTTTCAATAGCTTCATATGCATGTGAAAGTTGGACAACGAATAAAAAAGCCTGGAGAAGAATTGATGCTATTGAATTATGGTGTTGGTAAAGAATACTATGGACTGCCAGAAGAACAAACAAATCTGTCTTGGAAGAAGTAGAGCCAGAATTTTCCTTGTTGTTGTCAGGTGCCATCAAGTCAGAACCGACTCATAGTGACCCCATGCACAGCAGAACAAAACAATGTCCGATCCTGGGCTAACCTCACTACCGCTGTCACACTTGAGTCCATCAATGATGCCACCTGGCCAATCCATCTCCTTAGGGGTCTTCCTCTTTTTCTCTGACCCTCCACCTTACCCAGCATGACATCCTTCTCCAGCGACTGTTTCCTCCTGACAATATGTCCAAAGTATGAGAGACGAAGCTTAGCCATCCTGGCCTCCAAGGAACACTCTGGCTGCACTTCTTCCAAAACAGATCTATTGGTTCTTTTGGCAGTCCATGGCACTTTTAGTATTCTCCTCCAATACCACAACTCAAAGGCATCAATTCTTCTACGATCTTCCTTATTCACTGTGCAGCTTTCGCATCCATATGAGGCTATTGAAAACACCTTGGCCTGGGTCAGGCGCACCTTAGTCCTCAAGCTGACATCTCTGCTCTTCAGAATTTTCCTTAGGAGCATGTTATCAGGAGGACCAGTCAGTGGAAAAGGACATCATGCTTAGTGAAGTAGAGGGTCAGTGAAAAAGAGAAAGACCCCTAATGAGATGAATTGACACAGTGGCTACAGTAATGGGCTCAAACATAACAATTATTATAAGGATGACGCAGGACCATTTCATTTCATTGTGCATGAAATGGTGGCTATGAGTTAGAGCCGACTTGAGGGCATCTAACAATAATCTTTATGGAAGCCTACTGCCAAGTCTGGTAGACACGAACTGCGATTATCAGTGCTCCACCAGAGCTTCTTAAAATGTGTAAAGATAGCATTTAATTTTTTCAAATTGACTATGTAATGGAAAGAAAATCCACTATTCCAATCAGCAAAAATGTCATCCAAAAGTGGAAGGCACCAATATAAATCTCTGATTTTGATCTAGTGAATAATATGCTCCCAAACATAAAATGAATATAACATGAATGTGATTTTAAATAATATGTTAGCATAAATAGAGCATTAAACTAAAAATCAGAATTTATACAAAACTCTAACTTAAAAATGAAAGAATGGGAAAAATGTTTAAGTAGATTAGTTTAAGATTCTTTTTTAATGTTGAAAATAAGATTGTTTTAGACTCACGTTGCCTGGAGAGCTGGGACCCTGAGGTAAGCAAGGACTGAAGGCCATGAGGTCGGTCTTGGGTTGCCCCTCCCCAGAGCACACCCTCTGTCGTCTCTGCTGCGAGTAAGACCAGCTCCCTACCGCACTGGAGCACACCAGCGTGGCCTTCCCCGGCCCGTGCGCACCCTCTGGGGGCGATGCCGAGCACCGCAGCGCTGTGTACAGCATAAACGTAAGCACCAACAGGCTGGACACTGCGCAGATGGCAATGATTAGATACACGTTGACATCCACCAGCGCCGTCTCTGGGCCCACAGCTCCAGACGACACCCGCGACGACGTCTTCAGCACCTGATTGTTCTCCACCAGCGACACAAGAATGGTGGCCGTGGCCGCCAGAGGCGGCTCGCCGTGATCCTTGACCAGCACCAACAGGCGCTGGCGCGGTGCATCTGCCTCATCCAAAGCGCGCGTAGTGCTCACCTCGCCTGTGTACAGACCCACGCGGAACGGACTTCGAACACCGCCCGCCGTCAGCTGCAGCTCATACGACAGCCACGCGTTGTAGCCCGAGTCCGCGTCCACAGCGCGAACCTTCGCCACCACGTGGCCCGCACCCACCGACCGCGGCACCAGCTCGCTCCCCGAAACACCCGCGCCACCAGACCCAGGCGGCAGCAGCACCGGCGCATTGTCGTTCTCATCCAGCACAAACACCTGCAGAGTCACGTTGCTGCCCATAGGCGGGAAGCCCGCATCGCGCGCGCTCACCTGGAACTGCAGCAGCTCCAGCTCCTCGTGGTCCAGCGGCTGCAGCGCGTACACCTTGCCGCTCTCGGCGTGTACTGACACGTAGCTCGACAGCGCGCGCTCGCCCACCCGCCGCTCCACCAGCGAGTAGGACACCAGCGCGTTCTCCTGCGCGTCCGCGTCGCGTGCCGACACAGTGAAGATGTGGCTGCCTGGAGGGTTGTTCTCCTTAACAAACACCGTGTACTCGGGTTGTGGGAACGTGGGCGCGTTGTCGTTCACGTCGGCCACCTCCACCGACACACTAACAGTGGCTGACAGAGAAGGTGAGCCTCGGTCCCGTGCTGTTACCACCAGATCATAGGCTGACACACTTTCGCGGTCCAAGGAGTTTTCCAGGACTAGTGAGTAGTAATTTTTGAAGGTGGACACCAACTTGAAGGGGACATTTGGTGTCAAGGTGCTCGTCACTTGCCCATTGACTCCAGAATCGCGGTCATACACACTAACCAAGGTGATGACTGTTCCTGGGGGAGCGTCTTCTGAGATAGGAAGGGACAAAGATGTGATGGTCAACTCTGGAGCATTGTCATTAGCATCCACTACATCCACCAGAACTGTAGAATGGCCAGACAGCGGTAAGAAGCCTTTATCGGTAGCCTGTACTCGAACTTTGTAGGTTTTACTTTCTTCAAAATCAATATGTCCTATTACTGTAATTTCCCCGGTTATAGGATCTATATGGAACTTGGATTTTATATCAGGAGAAACATCACTAGAGAATGAGTAAATAATATCCCCATTCAATCCTTCATCTAAATCTGAGGCATTTAGTTTAACTACCAACGTTCCATTAGAAACATTTTCTGGTAATTTCACTCTATAGAGTGTTCTATCAAAAACTGGGGCGTTGTCATTGGCATCAAGCACTGTGATGAGTAACTGAACAGTTCCAGTCAACTCTGGTTTGCCCCCATCAGTGGCCGTGAGCACTAAATAAAGCTCTGGAGCGCTTTCTCTGTCTAAAGGTTTCTGTAATACAAGTCCAAGCGGTTTTACCTGTTCCTCATTTATTGGTACGTCCAGTGAGAAATACTCATTGGGCCTCAATCTGTAAATCAGCAGAGCGTTGGCTCCTATGTCTGCATCCGACGCGCCCTCTAGCGGAAACCGAGAGTCAAGTGGCCTGGATTCTGCGATAAACAGATTCTTTTGTGTCGCTGGGAACACCGGCGGATTGTCGTTAATGTCCTTCACCTCCACCTCTACATGGAAAACCTGCAGTGGTTTGTCCACAATCACCTCCAGGTGGATGCTGCACACCGCGCTCCGACCGCACAGCTCCTCGCGGTCGATGCGAGAATTCACAAACAAAATGCCGTTCTGCAGATTCACCTCCAGAAGCTCTAGGCTGTCTTTGGACGCCAACCGGAACAGGCGAGGCACCAGCTCCGCCAGCTCCAGCCCCAGGTCCTGCGCGATGCGGCCCACGAAGGTACCGTGTTTGGCTTCCTCCAGAACCGAGTAATGGATCTGGCCGCTCCCTGCCTCCCAGGCTGCGAGAATTACATAAAACAGCAGTACACGCCCTGCTCCTGGGTCGCCTGGACCCGGATACACCATTTCAGATTCTTGCTGCTTTAACCTAATAATCGAAACTTGTCTACAGATTTAGGGAAATTGTCTTATCCTGATGTGCTCTTCATTGTTCAGCATCCGGAAAGTGAAAGACAGTGGATCGTCTTTTCAGTGGGAAAATGGATGAGTTCGGGGGTTTTTTTGTCTTGAATATGGGGAATCTCGCGGTGAAGGGCGACATCATCTGGCCCAAATAGTAAGTTCAAGTTACAAAATTAACTTCACACCATTAAAATGCAATGTTTTATTTCAACCTCTGAATTTTTTCTTTATTGATAGTAAAGCGTAGAGCAATATTTCTCAGGTTTTCAGAAGACATTCTCAGGGGGCTGATTAATTTCAAGTGTTTAATGTGACCATAATTGTAACCTTGAAAACAACCATTTTATTTTCATAATTTAAAAATAAAGATAGAAACCAAATTGGCAATAAAGGGAAATTTTCCAACAATCCTAAGTTCTTTATTCCTTTGTGCGAGAGTTCAGAAAACTCTCAACATTCCTTAATTTATTATTCTCGGAAAACTTCTTGGTTTCTTACCTACAGGGACCCTGGATCTCAAAAATCTACTAATGGAAAATAAATTTATTTTTAAGAAAGGAAGGAATATAAACAACTAATTCAGATATATTTCTTCAGTAAACAGAACAATTCAAGGTGTTTGAATTTTTGAAGAAGTAAGAATTTGTATTAAGTAAATTTTGTGAGGAGCAAATATTTTATCTACTCATATATATAAATCCTGTTTCATGAATCAGTAAAGTTCCTATATCTATATCCATTTACTCGTTCCTGCCTTTATAGGCCTCATGTTTTATTAATACCTCTCTGTTTTTACAGTCTCAATATAATTTAGATTTTTTGGGTTGTAATATGTTACGTCATTAGATATATTTTGGTGCTCATCTGTCATACTTAGTATTTATCTTTAATCAAGAGTGGGGTATTTAAACCTTTATAGGTCTACTTAGCAAAGCAAATTTTCTTGTGCACTCTACTCCCTGATTTCCAACTACAAGTAAAATAATCTGAATTCTCATGCTCCCCAAGTTTGTTATCTGCTTTAATGGAGTTTGCAATAATTGTTGCTCTATTTGATTATGCCAGTAGCTTTTCATTGTGTCATTCCAATTTCATTCATCATTCTATGCTACTTGATTCCAATTTCATTCATCCTTCATTTAACCAGTGCAGCCATAACCTTGAAAAACAACCTTTCTTTATTAGCATCAAAGGAGCTCTGGTAGCGTATTGGTTACAAATCAGGCTGCAAACCGCAAGGTCAGCAGTTCGAAACTACCAGATGTTCCACACGGGAGAAAGATGAGGCTTTCTGTTCCTGTAAAGGTCTCAATGAGTCAGGGTCGACTCCACCGCACATAACCACCACCATCACAACACAAGCTTCATACTTATATTGATAGCCTTCAAGTGACTTTCGAAGAGAGTCAATTTTCTTAATCAAATTCAAAGTTAGCCAAGAGATTGTCTCATATTAGTTCCCCTGTTTTATCTCATAATATCTCCTGTGTTTTCACCAAAGTGTTTCTAGGCATACTTGGGATTTTCTGTGTAGTCATACTTAAGTTGTCACTTTCCCAGCTTTTCTCCAATATTTTCTCAAAGTAAAGTTTTCCATTTAAAAAGCACTAAAAATATAATTATAATGACTGTTGAAGGACTCCTTCACCAAAAGAAAGTTTCCCTTTAGTTCCAATCATACTTTTCTTGTACCTCTTGTAATATTCTGTCTTTCATTAGGGTAATATTTATATATGATATACATTCTTTATATATAAACTTCTTGAAGTCAAGGACTTTTTGATTTGATGATTGCTGGCACAGCATCAAATTCTTAAGAGTTTCATTTAAAAGCTATTTTTAAAGATTAACTCGAGTGATACCTATGGTTTTTTTCTACTTCCTAAAAAAAAAATTTTTTTTTTTTTAAAGTTAGGTATCACTTCCTTTAGAAATAGTGCCTTTTATTGATTGATGTTATGTTGATGATGTTAGGTGCCATTGAGTCAGTACTGACCCTATGCACAACAGAACGAAACACTATCCAATCCTGGCCTAACCTCAAAATCACTGCTATGCTTAAGCCCATTGATGCTGCCACTGTGCCAATCCATCTCGTTGGGGGTCTTCCTCTTTTTCTCTGACCCCTCCACTTTACCACACATGATATCCTTCTCCAGTGACTGGTTTCTCCTGACAATATGTCCAAAGTATGAGAGACAAAGTCTGGCCATCCTGGTTTCCAAGGAGCACTCTGACTGTATTTCTTCCCAACACAGATTTGTTTGTTCTTTTGGCAGTCCATGGTACTTTCAATATTCTCCTCCAGCACCATAACTCAAATGCATCAATTCTTCTATGGTCTTCCTTACTCACTATCCAACTTTCACATGCTTTATTGATTAGTACTTTGTTTTACATATTTTATTTATTAGAACATTGTGACTTTTAAGTACATGTTTAAAAATTATTGTGTACTCACTTAATTTGGGGGGAAAACAAACAGATATGGCTTCCACTGTTTCAAGAATTAAAAATAAAAAAAATAAAAAAAAACAGGGGAGCCCAAACCCAAACTTAGGCATCTGGTGGACCTTGGGCAAGTCCTAAATGTAAGAAAATACAGCATTTAGACTAAGGTAGTCTAATTTTTCCTAAGAAATATGCCCAATATAAAAAATTAGTCACCTTCAGAAAAACATTATGGTGCAGCTAAAATATTTTTTGTCCAAATTCAAAAACCCTTCCAACTGCCAAAATCATCAGTTTAACTTCAACTTCAACTAATTTAACTTATTTTAAATCAGCTTTTTCAATCTAACACATGCCATTAAAATTCTGAGATATTTAGAATTAACTAGGTAATTATGGTCTCCCTACAGATAACAAGGAGTCCTGGTGTGGCACTGTGGGTTAATGTGCCAGACTGCAGAGCTGTTTGAACTGTAAGGTTGCAGTTCAAGCTCACCAGCTGCTCCTCAGAAATCCTATACAGGGTCACTGTGGGTTGGAACTGACTCAATGGCTCTTCACAACAACATAGACAACAAATCTTTATTTAAAATAAAGCAGCATGGAAGTTATAATGATATTTTTCTTATGTTTCAGATTTTCTTTTTCCTTTTCATAATAATGGAGGGCTAGTGAGCTTGACCTTGAAGTTAACAGTCCAGTGCTTATTCTATAGCACCACACCAAGACTGTTGATTCTGTTGCAACTCAGTGACCCTGTACAGGATTTCCAAGGATCAGCTGGTTGAGCTTGAACTACCAACCTTGTGGTTTGCAGTCCAATGCTTACCCTACAACCCTACACCAGGAGTCCAAACCAAACTTTGGTACTGCCATTTATCATTTCAACTTTAAAAGTGGGAAACTGGCAAACGACACGTTAAGAAATCTATCCAATGTTAAATAGAATAAAATTGGTAGGGTGGAATTTAATAAGAAAGGATGACGTCAGAACTCACAACACTAAATTACTATTGTGTCCTGGTATGACATTGTAAGATAAGCACTGGAGTGCTAAGCCCAAGGTCAGCGGTTTAAACCCACCAGCCACTCCTGGAAAACTCTATACAGGGTAGGTATGAGTCAAAACCAGACTCATGACACTTAATAACAACAAAAACAAATGCAAACTAACCCTTTTGAACTTCAAATGGAATAAAAGAAAAACCAAACAGAAGTAGAAAGAAATAAAAGTTGAGTTTATTACTCTGGGGAAAAAAATCTACCTATGGAGTCTTGGTGTAGCCTGTCGGATAAGCAATGGACTGCTAAAGGCAAGATTGTTGGTTCAAACCCACTAGCTGCTCCTTGGAAACCTTATACAGGATCGCTGTGACTCACTATGAGTCGGAACTGACTGGATGGCATTTAACAGCAACATGGCAATAAAACTTATATAACAAAAGGAAAATACACTTACGAAAGGAAAGTTTGAGAGTGAGGTGTAGATGTGGTTAGTCTGAACCCACTTCAAGTTACAAATATCCTAAAAATATTAATAGGAGAAAATAGACCTAGGAGATAAAACGGTGAAAATTGTAAATGGTACTTGTTAATCATGAAAATTCAGACTTACTCTGGCACAACGATCCTCCTTTAAATCCTGATGTTCGCCCACATCCGCTGCTACAGGACAGGGCGGAAGGCTGGGGCTGAAGGCCATAAGGTCAGTCTTGGGTCCTTCCCCAGAGCACACCCTCTGCCTCCTCTGCTGTGAGTATGACCAACTCCCCACCGCACTGGAGCACACCAGCATGGGCTTCCCCGGCCCGCAAGCGCCCTCTGGGGGTGGCGCCGAGCACCGCAGCGCCGTGTACAGCAACAGCGTGATCACCAACAAGCTGGACACCGCACAGATGGCAATGATCAGATATACGTTGACATCCACCAGCGCTGCCTCCCGGCCCCCGGTACCCAACGACGCCAGCGATGACGTCTTCAGAGCCTGGCCGCTCTCTACCAGCGACACCAGTACTGTGGCCGTGGCCGCCATGGGCGGTTCTCCATGGTCTTTCACCAGCACCAGCAGGCGCTGGCGCGGCGCATCCGTCTCTTCCAGAGCACGCGTCGTGCTCACCTCGCCGGTGTACAGACCCACGCGAAACGGGCTGCGTGCACCGCCCGCCGCCGGCTGCAACTCATACGACAGCCACGCGTTGTAACCCGAGTCCGCGTCCACAGCTCGAACCTTCGCCACCACGTGACCCGCGCCCACCGTCCAAGGCACCAGCTCGCTCACTGCATCGCCCCTGCCACCAGACCCAAGCGGCAGCAGCGCCGGCGCGTTGTCATTCTCATCCAGTACGAACACCTGCAGAGTCACATTGCTGCCCAGAGGCGGGAAGCCCGCGTCGCGCGCGCTCACCTGGAATTGTAGCAGCTCGAGCTCCTCGTGGTCCAGTGGCTGCAGCGCGTACACCTTGCCGCTCTCGGCGTGTACTGACACGTAGCTGGACAGTGTGCGCTCGCCCACCCGCCGCTCCACCAGCGAGTAGGACACCAGCGCGTTCTCCTGCGCGTCCGCGTCGCGCGCCGACACCGTGAAGATGTGGCTGCCTGGAGGGTTGTTCTCCTTCACAAACACCATGTACTCGGGCTGTGGGAACGTGGGCGTGTTGTCGTTCACGTCGGCCACCTCCACGGACAAGCTGGCTGTGGCCGATAGAGAAGGAGCTCCCCCGTCTCGCGCCGTCACCATCAGCTCATAAACTGACATATTTTCACGGTCCAAGACACTATTTAACACCAAAGAATAATAATTTTTGAATGTTGACTGAAGTTTGAATGGAACATGTGGCGTCAGAAAGCAAATCACCTGCCCATTGGCACCAGAGTCCAGGTCGGACACTCTGATTAGGGCAATGACTGTACCGATTTGAGCATCCTCTCGGACTGGTGAGGACACAGAAGTTAATTCAATCTGAGGGGCATTATCATTTTTATCCAAAACTTTCACCACAACGGTGCAATGACCTGCCATTGGTGGGTGACCTTTGTCCGTAGCATCAACGCGGATTTTATATAAATTTATTTGCTCGAAATCCAAATTCCCTTGAATGATGATTTCTCCTGTATTTGGGTCCATGCTAAACCGGGCAAAAACCTCGGGTGAAACAAGACTATTAAACGAGTACGAAATTTTCTTGTTCACACCTTCATCCAGATCAGAAGCATTAAGTCTGATAACTACTGTTCCGTTGTCAGCATTTTCAAATATTCTTACTTCGTATTCAGACTGTTCGAAACTGGGAGCATTATCGTTCACATCCAGCACGGCGACCAGCAATTGAACAGAACCCGTAAGCTCAGGTTTGCCCCCATCAGTGGCAGTCAAGAATAAGCTGTGTTCAGGTGCTTCCTCTCTGTCCAAGGACTTTCTTAGTACAAGTCCTATCTGTTTATTGTCATCGCTGTTTGTTTTCACATCTAGCACAAAGTATTCGCTGGAAGTGAGTTTATATGTTAAAATGGAATTGGAGCCAACATCAGCATCAGATGCGCCCTCCAGTGGAAATATAGACTCTGGCAGCCTAGATTCGTAAATCCGCACTCTTTGTTCCTTTACCCGGAACACAGGCGGGTTGTCGTTAATGTCCTTCACTTCCACGACCACATGGAAAACCTGCAGCGGCTTGTCCACAATCACCTCCAGGTGGATGCTGCACACCGCGCTCCGTCCGCACAGCTCCTCACGATCGATCCGAGAATTCACGAACAAAATGCCGTTCTGCAGATTCACTTCTAGAAGCTCCCTGTGGTCTTTGGATGTCACCCGGAATAGGCGCGGCACCAGCTCCGCCAGCTCCAGTCCAAGGTCCTGAGCGATACGGCCAACGAAGGTGCCGTGTTTGGCCTCCTCGGGGACAGAGTAATGGACCTGGCCGCTCCCCGCCTCCCAAGTGATAAGGAATAGAAACCAAAACAGCCGGCACCGGGATCCCAGTCTGCCTTTCGGGGTAAAAACCATGTCAAATACCGGTTGTTTTCTTTCCTTCAGAAGTCTTGAGTGGGCATAAAGATGAAATACTGTATGATCCGAAGTCTATTAATCCAGTTCGACTTCCGCCATCATTCAGCATTCTTGGAAGAAGGCTGCAATAGCAGGAAAGGTCTTTGAATATTGGCTAGAGGTAATTTCATTGTAGACAGCGACATCATGTGGCTCCACATAGTAAGTAAGACTCATTCGCATAACCCCGCAATAGAGTAATAGAATTATTTTAATCTAAAAAAAAGCTTCTTCTTTTGCCTTACTTAACAATAAGCCCTCCTTATGTTTGCTATTTGCAGAGTCAGTTTCACCCCACCGGATTTATTAATTTAAGTTGGATAAGGGAGTCACAGCAGGGAAACTTTGCTATAAAATTTTTAAATAATGGTATCAGGTAGTTTAGTAAATTTAAATTGTTCCAATCTAGTCATGTGGGTTAGAAGTGTAAACTAGCCTATCCAACTTTTGCAGAAAAGAAATATGAATATCCATGTCTGTCACAAGAAATACTAGTATATGCTGCTCTGGAAAAAGAACATAATTTAAAATTATATTTTGATTAAAAAGTTAAAATTGTATAGATTAGTGAAATACATTTTTCTTTGCTGTTACTTTAATAATGCAAAATGAAATTTTTAGTGCATGTTATTGCAACAATTCTTCAGTTCTCTGCGCTTATATTATATAATGTTGTTGTTGTTAAGTGCTGTCGAGTCGTTTACCACCCATAGCGACCCTGTATAGGGTTTCCAAGGAGCAGCTGGTGAGCTTGAACCACCAACCTTGTGGCTCAAACGACTTTGCAGTCCAGCGCATTAGCCCACAGCGCTTCACCAGTAAAAGTGCTATCGAGTCGGTTCAGACTCACAGAGACCCTGGGTAAGGTTTCCAAGAAGCGACCGGTGGATTTGAACTGCCGACCTTTCAGTTAGCAGCCCAGTGCTTATCCTATAACACCACACCAGGACTCCATTGATCATTTGCTGTTGTTAAGGTCAGCTGAGTCCGTTCCAACTCATAGCGACCCTGTATAGGGTTTCTGAGAAGCGGCTTATTGATCGGTTTGCACGGCGGACCTTGTGATCCAACACTTTATCCTGCAGCTGCTCCTTAATATCATTTTCTAATGTTACAATCTATACTGGGGCACTCTGAGTCGGAACTGACTGGATGGCACAACAACATTCTTTTCCTTTAAAAAATGTTCTAAACCACTTTCAAAGTTTTATTGAAGGTATTCTCAAATCTACATCTCCATCCCCTACTACTATCTTTCTATTTAACCTGTTCATGCCGATGACTTCTAGAAACGTTTTATTTAAGAAAATGATTTATTAATAACAGCTCCAAATTAAAATTTTTGAAATTTACATTTTGTATTAATGGTAATGTATTAATGGAAATGGAGAATGTTCATTCTCCATGTTATTTACATATTTCTAAATTACTCTTTTCCCTTACTTGTTATATTCAGATCCGTATATATATTGACTGTCTTATCACATATCACCATATGTATCTTCATGAATATGGCTTTCTTTGCATTGCAGTAAACCTAAAAAGTCTAATCCATTAGAATCACTTCTAGATGATCTAAGGTGTCATCTTAAGTCAAATGCTCCCATTTTATTTTCAACTTCTCTCCGTTATGAATTCTATGGTACAGAAAATATTTGCTTACTATTCACAATATATCCTTTGATCAAGGTTTTTTTTTTAATCTCATTTTCACCCATAAAAAAGTTACCTTCCCATCAAAATCAAACCCAAATGTTAACTTCACCTTTAATTCAAGCTTAATATCAGTTGGAGGTAACTGAACTCTTCCTTGAAATAAGAAAATTAGAGTTACCAATGTTGTTAGGTGCTATTCAGTTGATTCCAACTCATTGCAACCCTATGTACAAGAAAACAAAACAGTGCGTGGTCCTGGGCCATCCTCACAATTGTTATTGAGTCCATTGTTGCAGCCACTATGTCGATCCACATGATAGGGGTCTTCCTATTTATCACTTGACCCTGGACTTTTCCAAACATGATGTCCTTTTCCAGGGTCTACTGCTTTCTGATAACATGTCCAAAGTACATGAAATGAAAATCGCCATCCTCACTTCTAAGGAGCATTCTGGCTGTACTTCTGGCAGTATTCTTTGCCAACATCACAGTTCAGATGCTTCAATTCTTCTCCAGTCTTCCTTATTTATAGTCCAGCTTTCACATCCATATGAGGTGATTGAAAATACCATGGCTTGCATCTGGCAGACCTTAATCCTTAAAGTGACAACTTTGCTCTTGAACACTTTAACGAAGTCATTTGCATCAGACTTGCCTAAAGCAATATGTTGCTTGATTTCTTCATTACTGTTCCCATGAGTGTTGATTGTGGATCCAAGTAAAATGAAATCCTTGACGACTTCAATATTTTCTCCATTTACCATGATCCTCTCCCTCCAAAATTTGAACACTCTTTAAAAAATCTCATAGACAGTTGAAATAAAAGACTCTTCTTCCAGAAGTTCTGTCTTAAAATAATTTGGCTCAGTAGGGCAAGCTGCTAATCAAAAGGTTCAAACCCACCAGCCACTCTGTGGAGAAAAGTAAGGCTTCTGTAAAGATTTACAGCCTCGGAAAGCCTATGAAGCAGTTCTACTTTGTCTTATAGGATCGCTGTGAGTCACAATCAACTTGATGGCAGTGTGTATTTAGTAATCCTTATTACTGATCTTCTAGCATAGTGATTTTGAAAACAAAAGGTTGCTTTGCTAATCAATTTTTTTTTTAAAGATTCCTTTCCTTACACAAAGATGATGTTGTTAATGCCTGTCAGGAGATTCTGGGTAATGCAAAAGGTGAATTGCTTGACTACCCAAAAAGGTTGGCATCTTGAAACACCACCACCTACCCCCCACACACACACACACACTAGGCACAGTGGAAGACAGGAGTTGTTAAATGTCATCAAGTCGGCTCTGACTTATAGCAACCCTGTACAGGGTTCTAAGGAGCAGCTGGTGGCTTTGAACCACCAACCTTGCAGTTGTATAACACTACACCAGGACTCCAGGAGTAGTGGTCTTTTGGGAAAGTCATAGCCTTGAAAGCTCTATGGAGCAGGTCTACTCTGCACACATGAGATGGCCATGAGTACTTGAGAAAACCTTTACAAAAGATAGGACTTTCCATCGGTTTGTTGCAGGTTTCCTTACATTTCATAAACTTTGTTCTAAGTGAAGAGTCTATTTGAATCTCAACTTAAAAAAAAAAAATTAGTTAAGTAAACGTAATTATTTTATTTGTCTTACCATTGCAACTTCTAGAAAATTGAGATTGTCATCCAATCCCATTGGAACACCTATAATAACTGCTACTGGTTCCAGATATCAAATTATAAAATGTTACTGAACTCTTTTATGTAAAATTAATTAACATGGAAAAAGAAAATAGTGACCTTCAAAGAAACATCTTGCATTTTTCTTCATTCCACTTATTCAAATAGTTTATTCTAGTCAAGGACAAAGAGTATGTAGAGAAAAAAAAAAAAAAGGTTGGTCTGTTTTCCTATGAGCACCTCCCTTTTGCAACAAAGAGAAATTTTATTTTATCATAACAATATAAATCAAGGAGTTTATATTTCAAGACTGAATTAACTTGATTTTGTAAAATTGACAATTGTTAAACACAGATTTATGCAACACCCACCCCCACCACCACCAAAGTAATGGCATATTAGAAATATATGAATAATATAGTAGAAGTTGTTGTTAGTGTCATGGAGTAGGTTCTGACACATAGCAACCCTGTATAGGGTATCTGAGGAAGGGCTGGTGGGTTTGGACCACTGAACTTGCAGTTAGCAGGCCAGTGCTTATTCAACAAATCCACACCAGGATTAAATGCACATGGTAATAAAATAAATAGGCAAAGCAATAATAATGGAATTGATATTTTATCATATAAAGTTTGGAATAATTATTACCTGCCAACCACACATTTCTTCTTAAAAGAGTAGTATAATCATTTTTGTTATATGAGATGGATAGTGGGTGCCTTAGTCTATGGTGGCTCAAAAACTTCCTTGTAAACAATTCTATTAGTAAACAAAAAACCCAAGAGGGAACTCCTGTTTGTATCCTGGTACTTTTATATATATATATATATATAAAACGAGAAACAACAAGAAATGCTAAAATCTTCTAACCTAAATATGTTAGGATTTTCTTAATTATAAGAGTATACATTTACCAGTAATTTGTCAACTGAATAAAATGCAAGTTTGAGAAAAGTTAACTCTTTAGTCCACTAAATACTGATGTTAAGGTAAGCAAGTTATGATATACCCATACAATTAAGCATCATAATTCTGGATGAAAGAATAAGAAATTGGTTTGAGTAATGATATGTTATGATTGAAAATATATATTGCTAAGTGAAAATAAAAAGTCAAAAAGCAATAGAAAAAAAAGAAAAAGATGTGTTATGTCATACAAGAAAGAAGGGGAGTTATTTTTATGTAAAGAATTTCTTGATGGATACCATAGAAATAAGAAATATTTGATGTCTTCAAAGAGGAGCATTAGATGGCCTCATGATGAAGATGAAAGGGAAATTTTTAACTGTACTTTATCATACTTCTAGAATGTTATGTCTTTCCTATTCATAAAAGTTATTAAAATGAAACCATAAAACTACACTTTTTAAATGATTGATATCAAATTAATCATGAGGATGCCACAGTCAACATTAAACATGAAAAGAATCACTGCAAAATATGACTGAAGAAAATAATCTAACTAGGTGTGATTAAAAAAAAAAGAAAATTGAAATTCAGTGGAAAACTACAAATGGCAAATGGATGGTCCCTGTTAAAATATTGCTATATAACCCTGTTACAAGGCAATATGAGAAAAATTAAAAATCTAAAATATATTACTGTTTTCCTACAACATAACCTAAAGTGTTTATATACAATATTTTAATTT